TCCGTCGAAAAAATAGTTTGAAATTTTTCGTAACAGGTGGCACTGTAATGAAGAAAATAAAATTAACAGAAGCTCTCCCTTCCCGCTAAAGCATCCAGAAATCTAGTTTACGCAAACCTACACCATATTTACACGAGGACTGAAAAAGGCACCTGAAAGAAGTCTTCTGACGTCACAAGCCTAAAACAAAAAGCTCGTTAAATTCACACAATTCCAGCTATTAAGAACCACGCCTAGCAAGGATATAACCAAAGAATATATAAATAGCTAGAACCAACAAATATACACTGGGAAAGAAGTTCAGTCTTCATTGGCATAATGAATCAGTTCTCCAAGGTTAAGTGTGATCCCCGCGTATAAAGGAAAATACAACATTCTGAATCAAGACAGCAATGTTCAGTTATGTCGCGACAGTTATGTATTCGAAGAGCTGGACTTCTTTTTTCTTCCTCTTTCTTTATTCTTCGGTTTAACCATGTAACGCAAAGAGCTAATTTTTTAAATAGACGCAAGATTTCGTTCGTCTTGTAACTGCATTTATGAACATGGGTCATCTCTTTTAAGTTTTCCATTAGCCAATAATCTTGGTGTGTTGAAAACAATGCACTCGCTCTGGTAAAAGAGTTTTACAATCAATGAGAATTCTTCCTGTTGAGTGGCATATTCAAAATGTGGTCAAATGATTTTTTCAAACAATACGCATAGTTTTCATACAGAAATTACATACCTTATTAATTTTTCATGCGATTTTAAAAGAAAAGGCCATCTATTGAAAATATTTCAAACTATTTTTTTCGATGGAAGCTTCAACGACATGATCTACATTTGAAGAATCCGTTGCGCAGAACTAGAGCTACGGATCTCTGAGTACTATCAATTTAATTTTCACCCCCCGTACATTCAAAAAGCGCACACCGGCCTGTGTAGGGGGCAGGGAACTGTCCTTGCATCAGAAAAGTTCTGGTTTCAAATCCCGGGCAAGACATGGATGTTCTTTCCTTCTCTGTACTATCTGTCCTCACTGTGGGAGCGAGGTTGGCCCACTTAATATGGTGCCCCTGAAAGAGAGGCCAACAAAATCGCCCTGTAAATGCCTGAATTGACGGATGTTAACACAGGTGGGCATTGGAAAAAAGGCATTAAAAAAGCTGTTTTCAATAATTACACGATCATATTAGTATACAAATGCTATAGTCTGAAAAGTAATTAAATATACTGACATACTAAGGACCATCAAATCATACGTGTTTGAACTGGTATGAATTTGCTCGTACGCTTTTGATAGATAACAAAAGGAGTTTTTTCTATCATACACGATCATATTAGAGTAAAAATGCTATAGTCTGAAAAGTATTAAAACATACTGACATACTAAGGACTGCACGTACCTAAGCGTTTGAGCCAGTATTTTCTTTTTTCATTTAGATTACCTTAATTTTATGTTTTTTATTAGTTATTGTCGAAAAGTTCCAAGGTTTAGCCAAATACGTCAATAACGATAAAACAATTACTTCTGGAGGATTCCATAGAAAACATTAAATCAACATAATTTAGATATTCAAAAGTACCTGCTCAAATACGCATTGACAACTATTTCATGAAAGGAGAGCATTCTTGATTATTGAATGATATTTCCAGTCCTTAAGTTTGAATCCAGTTTTCAATTTTTAGGATGTGCCCTTCGTTTTATCCATGTTTATTACTGTTGTATTAAATTACCGTGAGGAAAATCATTCTAAAAGATTTATAAAACTGAATAGGAATGTCAAGAATTATGGAATTGCTTTTCACTGTTAAGAAGACTTTCGTTCCTCATAGTTATTACACAATCGGATATCAAAAAATGCATAAAAATTAAAAGAAATACATTATTTATACTTACATTCTGGAGGTCGAGGTCTTGGATGCTTAATCCTCTCCAACTTCCAATTTCTGATCAGTACTTCCTTGCACAAATCGCTCATATCGCAAATCAGAATTTAAATGTTTTAACGTCAATCGCTAACATTCAAACAGATTCGAATGATTAATACCATTGTTGATAATGTCCTTTTTAGCTACGAATTATAGAAAATCAATATTGTTGAAACAAATCCGTACAGTATGGTTGTTCATTATAGTGTCGTATTGTTATAAGTATTTATTATTCAATGTTCCTAATATATGAATGTTATCAGTTCAAACCATTAAAAAAGCACTGCAAACATTGATAGACATCACAGTTATAGTGGAGGAACATTTTGTAGGGGTTTGAGTCGAAAAAAGTTTCTTTGACTCAATCTCATGTTTGTTAAAAATTAGGTCCTCCTGCACGCTAAAAAAAAAAAAAAAAAAAAAAAAAAAAAATATATATATATCAAAATTTTTAACGATAAAAGAATATCGATATTAATCAATGTTAATAAAGGAATAATTGATAGTTATCCTTTGCATTTTTATAATATTTCAGCCTATAACAATCTGCTTTAATTATTTCAAATTTATACAGCTCCGTGGGAAAATTAATTGAAAAAATATTAAAATAAGTTTTATATATCTTCTGCAATAGCATCTTAATTCATGAATATTCACTAAAGAATTTTTTCGTAAAAAGATGCTTATACATGTGGGAATAGGCTTAGTGGTTAAAGCAGTGAACTGTCATTGCGAAGGACTGGGGTTCGATCCTCAGTAGCTGTTTGAAGTACATCCTGCTTCAGATCGATGGGTACTAGCTAATCTGAGAGGTAAAAGTGACGTGTGTGCAATGCAAATCACATTGGTCACGAATGTAATGCCTGAACCTCATTAACTCTTCTGATCCAGAACGGGCTGTTGAGGGAATGCTTTACTTTTTGCTTGATGTATGTGGGAATATGCCCGTGAGATATTTAGATAGTTACTTAAAATGGTTTTACAGTTTCTTTATTTTTAACAAATATATTGTTTAAAGTTTTAACTCTTCAGCAATTATGATATGATATAAAATGTAGTTTTAATTTAAAAATCGTTAACTCTAATAGTACATAAATAGAAATATATAGTTTAAAATTAAGATATATCTTCGAATAATATTAATACTTTCTGAGGATGGGGCAAAACTGGGTGGACTTCTTCGTTGGGGAAGGGAAGGACTGGAGTGATCATCATTTTTTTTTTGTCTCCATTAGGATTAATGAAGGTGAGCTTTTTTACTGGGTTTGCATTATCAGATCAGAATAGATGTCCGACCCATCGTAGTCCATTGCATCTTATGACTTTAAAAATTGCAGGTTGTTTGTACTTTAGATAAATTTCGGAGTTAAGTAAAGAATAAATGGTTGATTGAATGCAAACAATAATATATTATTCTCCTAAACTGCAAGCAAATATTTCTCTTAAGAATTTCCATTCAAAGGTCACGCTTTTATTTTCGTGTAATTTGGTTACAGCCATAAAATTCATTCTCTTAGGACAGACATTCATTTTCTTAGGTTGAATTAGTTGTTATAGATGTTAATTTTTTATTTTAAACTTATAAATCCACATTTTAATTGGTTTTTGAGACCATGATTTACTGAAGAGCCTGTTGTTTTTTTTTATCTTGAGGGTCAAGTCATGGTTAACAGTGATGATAGTTCCAAGATATTTGAGCTGTGAAACTATTTCAAAGAAGTAATTCTTCACTGTAAATGGCTATGAATTAGGTGTAGTGTGGGAAGTCTCCATGAACTTAGTTATATCCTTGTTTATTTTTAGGCCAAATTTACCAACCTCAGCTTCTAATTATAAGATAAAGTTGAATGACAAGGAATTTAATTAATATGCAATACAGTAAATAAGCGAAGAGATATTTTATAAAAGTATTTAATGAAAAATAATAACAGCGAAATATATGCGTTTGCGAAGCGTTCTATTTACATATCTGAATGTTGCCACCTTTTTTATATGAAAGTTAAACTATTCTCTGCCTTAATAAAATTAGACATATGCGAACCTTACATAATAAATTGAATGCTCCTATGACAATTTTTCAGGGTACACTAACTAAGGCGATATCATCAGCAAATGCCAAGCTTTGAAGAGTCTTCTGGTAGATAGAGTCTCTCGTCTCTTTTTATGAGACGAGACACTCCTAGAGATTTTTCTAGAGTCAAGTTGACAGTAGACATGACAAAGCATCACCCTGTTGCAATTCTCTATCCGTATGGAAGATTCAGAAAAATCGTTCTCCAGTTTCACGTTGTACTTTACCCTCTAAGTGTAGTTAGTCTTTTTCAGGTTAATTAGCTTAGCTGGCATATCAAATTTTCCCACTACTTCTTAAGTTTCTGTCGAATAATTCTGCCGTTGTAAATTTTGACTATCATGTGTTGAATAATAGTACTATATGTACACATAATTAACTGTTTAGGCACTTTGAACTTCGAGCAACCAAAAATTAAAACAGATAATGAATAATCTAAGAGTCAAAAAAATTTTGAATCATGATATTAGTGTGCAAAAATAGTTATAAAAATAATAGTGTCATTAGTTATTGTTTTCGGATATCACAATTATGGTGGTGTTAAACTTTGACCCTCACTAATTAGCATTGAACAAATCAGATTTTCCTGTGTCTGTTTAGTTTGAACGTTGGTTAGAAAGTAAATGCCAGAATTTTTGCACGAGTTTAAGTCAGAAAACGTCTTTCAGTTAACGAGGCCAAGTCAACACTCGAACTGAGCCATTCTCGTCTCTTGTTTGCTCTCGAAATTTCCACTATTAATGTTTGAAACAAAAATAGAGACTATTATTTTAAGAATAATAAATTAATTCCATAACTTAAACAACAGTCTTCCTTTTCTAAAAATCAGGAATATTCTGAATTTTTCATTAAAATTCTTCATTTTTCTGTAAGATAAATTGACTTGTAGTAGTTTCTGTTTTTCATAAAAAGGAATACATGTTTAATTTTAATCTAATAGTAGTTTACAACAAAAAATATCGAATGATTTCTTATTTTCAAATAAAAAAATATATATTATTATTTTTTTTTCTTTTCAGGAAATAAACCTGACTTATAACTTCTGGCTATCATTATAAGAAAAACACATGTATGCATAAAAAGTTTTAGAAGTACCTTACGTATGAGTTTTCTTCATTTACTGGCATTCGTATTCAGACGAAAAACTGGTCTTTTGATTCCTTATTTCAATAAAGCAAAAGATTCAAAAATGCTAGTAATTTTGATGATTGCCACTTGGATAAACTCTGCAGAGTCACAACTTTTGAATGCAACCTTTATTCCTTTCGTCACGGGCCCGTTGATTGATTGTAAGTACAAGTTACGCTATCCCCAAACTCAATTTTTTATATATTTTTGTGGTGAAAGGCATAGCTTTATAATAATTATAATTTCTTTCATAAAATATTAAATTAAAGAATAGTTCAGTTTTGATTGTTTTTCAATCAATGTTAAAAGAGACCGTACAAATTTTAAACCTTTACCTTATTTTTAATTTTTAGTACATATGACGGCAGTATTCATATTTGAGAACATATTTTGTAACTAATTCAGTGATGCATTCTCTATTAACCCCTTAACTGCCGCGGGCGTATATATACGTCTCGGCCAGACGATGCGTTAACTGCCGCAGGCGTATATATACGCTTTCCCAAAGTACGATGCTTTGCATTGCGCTGCTACATAAATAGAACATCCCCCCCTCCTACTTCAGAATGCTGTAAAATGACCTTGAAAGTGTTTGCTTTGCGAATGTATTACTAATTTCGGAGGAGGGGGAGTGGGAAAAGGATGTTATGGAAAAGTGATATCGTATTAATCGCTTGTGTGTATTTATTTGAGTAAGGTCGGGTTTATTCTTTTTTCGCTTTTGTTTCCCGTATGTATTTGGTGCTTTTTATTCTTTCCATCAACGTCTTCAAAGAAAAATGCATCGCTAAAAATGTGCTGTTTGTTCAAGAAAAAAAACCTGCATATGAAAACTATCAGTGCGATGAATGTGATGTTGGTTTATGTGTCCAACCATGTTTCAGGATTTATCATACAACAGCTAAGTTTTAACATCTTTCATATTGTATTTTTATTATTTAATTTAAATTTTGTATTTTCTTTCTTTCCTATTTCTTGTCTTATAAAATTAAACTGTTTTTAAATTGCAAAGCGTGCATCATTTTCTCCACCAAAACACAGTGTAAGAAAGTGCACTTGAGCAAAAAACGGTGGCACTGGGGAGTGAATCACGTTAATTTTACTCGGCAGTTAAGGGGTTAAGAAATGAGCTAGAAATGTTTCTCTTTCTAAAGAAAAAGTTAAGGTTTTTGAACACTGGCTATAATTCTTTACAGACTATGGATCTGTTCGTAACGCTGTGTCAATTAAAATATAAATGGAATACAACACTTTTAAAGTTGACATGAGCATGAACATACATTGCAATTAACCTTTCTCAAAATGTGACCCTTTACATTAACCATTTTAAAATTTCATACCATTAGACTTGCTTAATTTTATCAATTTCCAATTCACTCATTCAAACTTGTAATAAATTCACTCATTATAAAAGAAAGATGTTTTTATGGCAAAAATTTAAATTTAGTAGCCTACAAACTATATAAAAATTAAAATAAAACTTATGCTACATTGGAAATGAACAAATGAAAAGGTTTATTTGCAAGGATAAGGAATATAAAGGCCAAAAGGATTAAAGATAAGGAATTCGCTATAAGGAATATCAGGGAAATGATAAGAGGAGTTCATTGTAGATTGTGTATAACTAATTAAATTAGTTCGCATGGAGCCTTAAAAGTTAGTGTAAAGCCGTGCCTATGGCATACTAATATTTGAGAGATGTAGGCCCACCTTAGATTTAGGCCTACATCGCGCCAAAGATGGAACGTTTCAACAGGACAGAACAACTCGCAGCAGTTCGATTTTTTGTGGCATTGGCGTAATGAACGCATTTATCCGCAGATGCTTGCTGTTTATGGTATCACTATCCTCGCAGCACTATCCTCGATAAAATGCTGAGAACAAATATTGCAAGATTTTTTTGATGAGCAGGCATCCATATTGGATTAGACAAGACTAAAACAAGCTTACACATATTAATAAGAATTTTAAATTTGTATAAGTTTCGATTTTTTTTGTTTAGAATCTTTCTTATAATTATTCTATGAGTATCTGTTAATAAAAATTTCAGTGCCTTTTCAAACCAAATGCTATGAGGGACTCGGGTGTTTCTATAATGGACCCCCATGGTTCAGTATTCCTGACAGACCACTTAGTTTTGCTCCAGTTGATGTTTTCAAAACTGAGTTTTTACTATTTACTCCGTCAAACATTGAAGAACCATACAAGATGAACTTAACTGAGGATACTATTTCAGATGCTAATATTAACCAAAACTATCCAACTAAAATAATAATTCATGGTTATAACGTCAATGTGCAACCGAATGACACAAGATATGTAAGTATATGAGATTATTTTTACTTATTTATTTTTTTAAAATTCTTTGGTTGTAATTTTTTATCTTTAATTATACACTGAACTAACACACTCTAAGATTTAAAGAAGATGTAGTTATGTATTCTATCTGATAACCATATTCTTAACCGTAATTACCCAGCAAAAATGATTATTTACCCAGGTCAAAATTCCTGATGGTCATATCGAAAAATTTTGACGGATTATGTTAGTTTCAGTGTGATTCATAAAGGTTCAATATCATCCACCATTTTCCATTTGGCGTTCATGGTTTTTGATATGCCATCAAACTACTTTAACTATGATGGTTAACCATCAAGAGAAGTTTCACTCTCATTGACCAACAATCCATGATGATCCGCGATAGTTCATGATGGTTGCAACTATACATTACCATGATGGTTGATTAGGAATTCTTGTTAGTTCTCAGGAATATACCACCAAAACAAGTTAGGTTCTCTTATGTTGGATCATAATAAATCAGTCCGAATTCCAGTGAACTACTTTATACTATGATCGTTAACCATATATACTATGATGGTTAACCATCGAAAGAAATTTCACTCTCATTGACCAACAATCCATGATGATCCGTGATGGTTCATGATGGTACAACTATACATTATCCTGATGGTTGATTTTGAATTCTTGTTTGTTCTCAGGAATATACCACCAAAACAATTTTTTATTTGTTTCTTATGTTGGAAAATCATAAATCAGTCGGAATTCTTATTCTAGGATGATGGTTGTCCATGATCGTGCCAATTTTTGATTTCTAAGATACTATGATTGAAATTCCTGATGGTTCAACAGGAACAAACCATCAAAACAAGTTGCTATTCTTATGTTGGACTATCATAAATCAGTCCGAATTCCTGCATTAGGGGGATGGTTGCTTATGTTGGTTACCATCAAGAATATAATGGTTCATGATGAAATTATTGATAATTACCATCAAGATTATGTTAGTCCATCAATGGAAAACCATCATGGGTATACAGTGTGAGAATTCTGGATCAAATTACGGTATTAAGTACCGGTACTTTGAGTGCATCATCTGTAAAATCCATTTTACTGTGAAGTTTATGTTTACCGTAAAATAATATACCATAATTTTCAGAGTAATTAATTTGAGGTGTTCAATTTTACGTCAATTATTACTGCGAACGTTATTTAAGTTTCTAATGTTATCATTTTTAATTATGTTTTTTTTAAAATCCAGGAGTATTGTTCCATTGAATTAAAACACTATCACAGCTAAATAATTTAAAATGACTGCTAAACCGCATTCATAGGTATCCAACAAAAATAGTTATTCATGAGTATGAAGGGAAATACATAAAAATATATGTTACATGACTAAATGACAAAAAGTTATCGAGATGAAAATACTAACTCTGCAGACATCACCAGGTGGTGCTGTAAGCAATCTCATCTTGTAATTTAGCACAGCCATTTCATATATATATAATGTATATATAGCTAAGAGAGTAGTAACGAACATAAATTCGCACCCTGTAAATTGATTAAATTACTATTTCAGCGTATAAAAAAAGCACTTTTGGAGCAAGGATCTTTCAACGTGATAATCGTTGATTGGTCGTATAATAACCAGCCTCCCTATCCTCAAGCTGTTGCCAATGGAAGAGTTGTCGGAGCCCAAGTTGCTAAATTAATAAATATTTTGCAGGTAAATATGATTGAATCTTCGAATATATTTTTTGAGAGTTTCATAACTAAGCAGAGATTTTCTTTCATCACAAAAGTCTCTCCTGTAGATTATTAAGAACATAAGCTTGGATCACATCCACATTATTGGCCATAGCTTGGGAGCTCATATAGCTGGATTTGCTGGAAAGAGATTGAATGGAGTATCAAGAATAACGGGTAAAGTCAGCTACTGTTACTTATTTAACTAAGAGTCTCTGTATCTATGGTAGTTAGAGGTTTGTGACAAGCACTTCCAAAACTGTATATTTCGTGGGAAGGAGAATGATATCGAATCCTGGCTGATCAATACTTCCTAGAAGAGAAAAGGCCTCTACACGGGTAGACATAAACAAGAAATGTGATCCTTTAGTAATCCAAGCATAATGTACCTGTTCCCACTGCGCAGATTAGTAGCCCGAACGTAGGGACGTCTTTCTTATTTTCTTCCAGTGTGCAGTTTATGTTCGTTACTTCGTGATTAATTGTCTGATTTGATCCGTCTAAATTGATGCGTGCTGAGGCCTTTTCTCTTCTACGAGGTGTTGGGTGGATTTTCTCATTGATTTAACTTTTTTCGCAAAAATCGTGATAACTGTATCGATCTGTGCCATTTTTTGCCAGCCTAAAGACACACCAAAATTTCACAAAAAATGCGTAAATTATTGATAAACCGATTCAGCTCTTAAATATAAAACTTTATTTTTAGCCTGTTTGAAAATTTTTCGATTAGAAATTTCTTTGCTTGATGATGAATTATAACACTGGGAACAAATATTTTGTTGCATTTACTATACAAATACTTGATCTTGCCTCATTTGGGTGTGGGGATTTCAAGTCTAAAGATAGTTTTGCGTATGAAGCTAGAGATTTTTTTTAAAAATGACATTTTAAGTCAACTAATGTTTTTTGTTGAAATGTAGAAGTTTAAAAATATTAGATAAAATAGGAGGTGAGCCGATGGGACAGGGGATAGAGCGTTCGCCTTCTAATTAGGGGAAGTTCGATTCCGGCAATGGCTTGTAGATACGAATGCCGCATCCGGCTTGCTCCGACCACAGTGCTGATGTGAAATATCCTCAATGGTAGATTGATCCCCTTGCCATCTGGGTACCCTTTGGAGATTCTCGTGGTCTTCCTCTCCATGTAACGCAAATGCGGGTTAGTTCCATCAAAAAGTCTTCCACGAAGGCAAATTTCTCCCAATACTTGATCGAGGAGTTCCCTTGTCTTCTGGATTGGATTGAAAACTACAAAGCTACGGAGTTGAACATTAGTAATCGTAAACCCAAAAATTGGGTCGTCTGTTCAACGACGGATATAAAATATAACTTCTAGGAGAGTTAGGGGGCATCACCAGGATTAAAATTGCACAGAAACCCATGCCCGGCAATCTCATCATACGCGGCAAAGGGCGCTTCCCTATTATGTTTTGTTCAGAAGCACACGAAGAAACAATTCACAATAGCGGCGTATGATAATATTTCCGGGTATGGGTTCCAATTCATTTTTAAATTATAATGATGTGCCCTAACTCTTCTAGAAATTTGTCGCAACATTTGCGTTATCACCTGTTATATATAACTATTTTAAACTTGTATATTTCGACAAAAAATGGACTAAAAATGTTGACTGTAGAGGGAATCAGAATTGAAGTCAGTGATACGAAAGTATCTAAGGTAAGTTAAAAAAAACTTTATGCAACAGAAAAAAAAGATGATTCCTTATGTGGCTCTAATGCTTTGACTTACTGTTCATTTTTTATTTGTAAGTACAATTATTTTTTTAGTCTACATTATACTATCGTTAATTATGCCATTGAAGAACAAATTTCTTAATGTATATTTCTAATGAATTGATTTCTAAGCAATATCTTTCTCCTTAATTCTGTTCGCAGTTAGATAATTCTTTATTTTAAAAGATTTATGCTTTTTAATTTTTAGGTTTGGATCCTGCTGGTCCATACTTTCAAAATGCCATACCTATTTTGCGATTAGATCGAACCGATGCTAAGTTTGTGGATATTATTCATACAAATGCAGCTAATAATTTTATACAAGGTAAAGATGAATACAATTAGATCTTAAAAAAATTAAATGTCTCCCTACATTAAAAAGTCGTAAGAGCTGCTTTGCGTGTCCAACTTATCGTTTCAATTGTATTTAACGTCCAAATTGCAATTTTGTTTTGCTTTACAAATACTGTATAACTTGGAAATTTAAAATTTCTATTGTCTGTTAAAAAATATACAGGAATTACAATGAAGTAAAAAATTCGATAATTGGTTCGGAAATGATTAACTGATAAACTTGTTGGAAAAAATACCGTGCGTGCTGAATTTCAGGCTGCTGAAATTCAACTACACTGTAAAAAAAAAGTGTCAAAATAGCATTCAAAAGAATTATAAGTGTCAAATAATAACTGAATTTGAAAATTTCATGTGTTAAGAATTGAAACAGCATATTCTTATTTCTGAGCAAAATGAAACTGTTTAAGAACGTATAGAATTAGTTCTCGTTAAGTTTTAAAATCAGTTACAAAGTTAGTTACTGAGTTCGAAAAAAATGCAAGGTCAAATAGGGAAAGCTATAAGACAATGTTTTCAAAATATTCACTATTCAACAACAACTTTGTGCAATCATAGGATAAAAATTTACAGATGGAGGTACAAACATTTCTGTTGGAATAGTTTGAGAAGCATAAAAAAATATTTTTTATATTTTTCAGTCTCTTTTTGAGAATATTAGTCATTAACTTCGATACCATCGAGAATAAACTTCTGGTTTCCGATCATTTCCGAACCGTATTCTTAGGAAACCAGCGAAATTGTTCTCATTATGTTTTAAAACTAGTTACAAATTTGAAGCAGATGATATAGTCAACTTGGTAAAGCTAATAATACAATGTTTTCAAAATCTTCATCATTTTCAGCAACAACGTAGCGTAGTCAGAGGACAAAAATTTATCGATACAGGTGCAGACATTTCTGCTGAAATAGTTTGACATGCTTAAAAAATATCTTTTTACAATTTTTCCAGCCCCTCCCTTCGAGAATATTAGTGACGAATTTTAAAACTTGTGAGAATAAACCGCTGGTTTCCTAAACAAAATGCAGAAAACGGTACATTTTCTTCTGTTTTCCATTAATTGTACCTTCCAACAGTTTAGTTTGTTAGAAAATACAAAATTTATTGTCTTTTTAGGTTTAGGTCTTGAGCAAATGATTGGAGACATTGACTATTATCCTAATGGTGGCAATCATCAACCTGGATGTTTGACAAATGTAGAAATGCTGAATTCAATTCTTGCAGGTATCAACAGAAAGAGCTTTAGATCTACAAATAGAATTAAATTTCTTTCAGAATGCTATTGGATGTACAAATTAGTTCGGTCCGTTTTTCTTGTGATCAAAAATGCATTTATTTCAGAACAAAATGAACAGATTAATCAAAGTATTGTCCATCGTTGGCTACTACTTTTTCCCACCTCTCAGGCAATTTTCGAATTCCATTTCGAAAAAACGCCTCGTCTTTTGAGGCGACCAAGTTAGGAGTCAATTTTCGATTTCTGAGAAAGAAGTGAACTGGTGACCTGCCGTCGTGCTGCATCCGTCGGAACAACCAGTAATCAGAATGAGCAATGTCCAGCAAATACAGCGGGTGTGGTAAAATATCCCACTGGAGCGTTTCCAAATATTTTTTTTACAACTTTTGCGACATCAGGCTGACCGTTATTAGGCAGAAAAATAACTTTGTCATGTCTTTGCTCATATTCCGGCCATTTTTCTCGTAATGCACGGCTCAAATGAATCAATTGTAGCCTATACTGATCGCCCGTAATGGAATAACCAGGTTGTAGCAGCTCATAGTATACAACACTATTCATCATTCACCATTCCTGAAATATCGAAACCATTCTCAAAATGATTTATCAGTTGGAGCATTGTCACCATAAACTTCTGCAAGAATTCGATGCTCTTCAACTGCACTTTTCTTCCAATTAAAGCAGAAGCATAAAACCTCTCGCAAATGGTGCTTCGTTACCACAAAACTTGACATACCCAAAAAAGTAAAAAACAGGGTTTTTGTATGAAACTCAAAGCGATGTAAAATGAATATTATTGACAGATGTTTAACCTCTCTGAAACCACCGACACCAGCTGTCACTATGAAGCATTCATAACAGCAGAGCCATATCTTAAAAATGAACCGAACTAATTTGTACTCCCAATAATTACCTATTTCGCGATTTTCTAAAAACAGAATATTTTAGCAAAGGAAATCAAGACTGTTTGCTGTCACTTGTCCCAAATTTTATTTTTTTGTTGCTTTTTACTGAATGTAGGCTTAGTAAGTCATTAGGCATGTTATGCTGAAATAAGCATAAAATATTTGCTAATATTTAAAAACTGAATTACTATCTTATTTAATCATCAGCAAATCGAAATCATTTATATAATCGATAATCTTTTAATACCATACATTTGAATTGAGTGCAGAATAAAATCTAATTTTAGAGATTCATCTGCCTAATACATCAGCATAGAATTCGTCAACCATTATATAGTTGCTAATATAGTGAATTCATTAAAATTCAGCATTATTTCTCACACTTTCTTTCTCGTCAATATATTTATATTGGTGAGGCTATGAAAAAAAGCTTTGGTAGGAAATTAAATCAATTAATAGCCAAGACATGGATTCCTTAAGTTTCTTTGGCGAAAGCTATTCTAATGTATACATGTGCTACAGTTAAAATGTAAAATTCAGTTGTTTTATAGAATTACTAAGTATTTCATGAAATAGCTAGATAAAACAGTTAAAGTATGTAATAGATGAAAAATTTCATACTTTATTTAGTTATGCAATGAAATAACTAATGATAGACTGTTAGAGCTAAAAATAAACAATTTCTAAGTTATTTCATAAATTAATTGATCATAAACAGCTCAAATCACTCGAAAAATACATTTTATCTCTATGGCGGATGATTAATTGATAAATAATAAGGAAAAGAAGATGATATAATTTATTATTGCTCATATTGCTCAGATTAATAAATACGTCTAAAAGCAACTGAATGAAGTGTACACACACAGACGTCATTACAAAGCAGCTATAAGCCGCACAAAATTGATTTAAAGCAACTTGAACTAGTTCAAAGAGCTTTCGGATACCGTATTTCTTACTTTGACTAATCGTTATTCTATAGAATACCGTTTTAAATCGTAGAACTCAATCATTTTATATACTTTGACTTCCCTAGTTATTTCATTAAATACCTAGTTATTCTACGAAATAACGGATTTCACTCTGTAACTGTAACATACACATAATAGTTGCAGTTTTGGATTACTGAGTGAACTGAGGTGCCCTGTAGAACTAAGCCCAGCGGCCACACCCTCCAAGCCATTTTCAAAATTTATTATTTTTAACAGTTCATATGTAGAATAAGAATGAAGATTTCTCTTTACTTTGGAGCTCCGTATTTTTCAAAAATAAAACATTTTTACTGTTAATCATAATCTGATTCTTTATTAAAGTAATTTATGGTGCTTAATCTATAATTAATGGCCTGCATCGCTATGGAATACAACAATGAACAATTGGGAATACAACAATGAACAATTGGGAATACAACAATGAACAATTGGAAATACAACAATGAACAATTGGAAATACAACAATGCATATCTTATCCAACTCGTGTTAATCATCGTCTTCTGAATAAATATTCTACAAATATTTCTTTCCTCCAACTAATGGTAAATCAATGAACTTCTTCTACAAAATAGTAACTTTAATATCTTCAAATAATTCCATTGCAAGGCATTATGTTGAAATCAATGGTGAAAACATGTTATACGTTGTACTGTACAAAACCCTAACATCAACTGACCACAACTCTTCAGTCAACTGTCCAAAAATATACACCGTGAAAAACAACTAATTTAAAAACAGTTTTTCCACCTTCGTCTTAAACTGTCCAAAATATTGCAGCATCGTTTTATTTGAATGATGGTAAACAGTTAAGAAAGTAATAACTGATTATAACTGATAAAATTTATAAAAATTCTAATTTTTTAGATTAGGGGCCTCCTCTTTGTGTATAGTTTTATACATTTTTTGCACATATTTACACTAATTACTCTCTATTTAATTACATGTTTATTATTTAGTTAATATGATTTTAAAATGTAATTAATTAGGAAATTTCAATTACAGCACTAATATTTAAAATGAAATGTCAGAAAATAATATAGTTAGATACAAAAAGAGCCCAATGATTTATGTTAAAAGTGCCTTAACTATTTTCAGAGTTATAATACACTTTTGGAAGTCTCATGCGTTTTTCTAAAACACATTGGTTTACAGTACATGAAATATTTATAACTTGATGTGATAGATTTGAATACTACTTCATTAATGACTTAGTTTTGATTCTGTTTTAGAGCCAAAAAATGTTTTTCATAACAAATTTAAAATTTTACGGAAAATTTGAGTGAGATCGGTGACCTGAGAAATCAAATTTTAAAAATACGACTTTTTAAAATTTGACTTTTCAGAAACTATTCGACCGATTTCGCTCAAATTTTGTATTTTCCCATCTAAAATTTCAACCTTTAAAATGATATAATAATTACATACATTACATTCCATATTATAAAATAATAAAAGTTACTAAAAGTAAACTTTTGAAAGGAATTATTTTCGAATAAAGCGAATGTACAATAAATTATTGTATACAACAACAAATAAATTATTGTGCACAAACATTTTATGGGGATCATATTTCCAAGATTGCGGATTCCCCCTATATTTTCATGGTCAGAAATCTGAATCCGTTAAAAAAAGTATGTTCATTTAAAGTACGTTTTTGTGTCTGATTACGTAACTTAAAATATCCTCTGCACTAATTAATTAGAATATTCGAGGTCACCCCCTCAAATCATTAAGATGAGACCTAAAACGTGAAGATCCGATCATTAGTCAAAATTTATTCAGGGTGGTCCGTTTTTTGCGCATTGTGCATTGGAAAAAATACTATATGCATCACATTACCGTATTTTCAATTTTAATTAATATCTGTTTTCAATTTTTAGCTAGTTTTTCAATAAATGTTCATGAAAAAAAACTGTTATATATTTTTAAAATTTTTATATAGGTTTTCAGTATTTGATAGCCAGTTCCTGTGATCACAGTAGAGCCTATGAATATTTCATATCGTCCATAACAGATTGCGACTACTCTGCTGTGATGTGCCAGAACTACTTGATGTACCAGAGCAAAATGTGCACTAATTTTAACTCTGTCATTTCTGAGATGGGATACCATGCACAAAAGATATTGGGTTTAAAAAAACATCCAAAATTTTACCTACGTACGACATCAAGTGAACCATTTTGCCAAAAAAAAGATGATTTTAATATGCCAACTAGCACAAATAAATACTCGTATTTATATTTTGGATAAATTTAAATAAAATTATGTTTTTGAAATTATTGATTTATTATTATTTTTTTATTTCCAATGTCAGGGAATACAAATAATAACACAGAGGAACAATAAAAATAGAAGATAACAAAAGACTGAAGTCATCTTCCCAAAAGCTCTCTCGCACGCCAATATCTTGCGGTCTCCGAGTCAAGTCCGTGGAGCCTCCTACAGCAATGGAGGTGCTCTCTATTCATAGGTGCTCCAGAACCACACAGTTGACTCTTGATTTATTATTTTCCAGTCTTCTTTCATGTTTATTGCGATAATATTATGTTCGAGGTTTATATCCTTTAGTCCCAAAGTGGATTGATCGTAAAGATACAGTTCCCAGGACAGAATCATTGGCATCGGTCAGTAAGCATGTGGACTGATCATTTTGATCAGTCTGTGTAGAGACCGAGGTTGCGCGGCATCAATCCTCGCTAAACCTGTTAGCAGAGCATGCACAGTAGTTAGTGAATGTGTTAACTCACATGAGGAAACTTGTAGATTTAAAAACTTTTTAATTACATGCAGTGTCATCTCGATACAGCAAACAACTGAAAATAATTACTTTGAATACAGCTTAACAAGATATGGTACATCATCACAGGAAACAACATAGTGAAGTGGCATATGCTTTAAACAATGCATGTCTTATGTACAGATTCCGTAATGATATGCATGGATGACGTCACTTATGTTACCTGAAAAGAAAATATCTATTACCAACACACGACCGAAACTTAATTCTATTAATGTAATGTGTTCAGAGGAGTAACAAACCACTCAAACAAAACTGTTCGACCGTTATAGTGCTCGACACTGCGTGCTGGTCGTCAGGCTACCAAGACGGTAAAGCCATTCCTTCCTGCAGAGGATCAAAATTCTGATGCATGTCTTTGGATCATCCTCAGGGATGTTTCCCAGACCGTCACCAATGGATACTTATGGAGATGTATGCTGCTCTGAAGCAGTAATTACAGCTAGTTTTAGAAGAACATTGATACCATTTTTGCAGTCATTTTATTATTTTTAACTGGAGTTTTAAATAAAATGCTGTTTTTTTCCATTTAATCTAAAAACGACAAAAAATGAATAGCGTTCTTGTTTTGTTTGTTTGTTTCTCATCCCCACTGGTTTAGCGAAGCTAGACCAGGTCCATGAGTCCATTCATCCTCAGGAAATCAAAAAACAAGACCGGGTCGCTCAGAAAATCCTCCGTTTCAAAATCCACACAGCTAAGGAGGTGGACCTGGCTGTCTGCACTGGAGAAACATTTGTTGCAAGTGGGATAGACCTTTCGCTGCTGTTCATATCTCATGTACTTTATATGACCACTGATGAATCTAGTGAACGCGGTCTGATCGCATCTATTACCTCTGAAGGCCAAAGCACGACCCGGTTTATCCCAGGAGTACCAGATAATTACTGGGGGAGTATTCCAGACTAGCTGTACACCTTTCATTCTAATGTTCATTCTTTCGTTCTTAACACTAAGAAATAAAATTTTTACTTCTGATGATTAAGCAATTCTTATATATTCGTTGTATATATTTCGTTAATGTTTAGAATCATTTTGTCACGAAATCACGTGATTTGGGACGTAACATGTAGTTTCAAACGTATGGCGAAAATATTTCCTCAACTCGGAATTTCATTGTAGTCCATTGCGTGAGATTGATAACTAGAATTATTAAACTAGGAAGAAGACGATGGAAGATAAAGAGACGAGATAAACCGATTATTGTGATCAAGGAATTGGACTAAAACCACGGGTTCGAATCCCGTTAGGTCATATGTGTAATTTATCTCTCGGTTCTATCAGTCCTTCATCCCCTGCTGCTTAGGCGACATTGATCCATTTATGTTGCCCACGATGAAGTGGTCATTAGAAAAGTTGAATTCATAAGGAGTTACGTTTTCCTTTTTGAAAAAGAAAAAAAGAAAATGGTGAAATATATTTTTTAATTTTGACGAAATGTATTTCTTCTAAAAAGTGATGACAGTTATATTGTCACTTCGACGAAATTTTTGCTCCGAATATATACCAGGAAACAATTTCGTCAAAAACGAAGAAAGTATCCCGAAATTTGTGCACGCAGGTTACCTCCAATACGAATTATATAATTTCCTACTTGCCCAATTATTTCTAGTCAGCCATATAAATTATTTTTCAAACAGTTTTTTTATTTTCTATTCATATTCATTACTTCATTAATAAGTTAAAACCCAAAAGATAAGCTTAAAGGAGCAAATATATCAGCATGTGCTATTTATCACACGCATATTCCTTTAATAGGGCTGATATAATTATTATCTTATCCTAGTGAAAGTTGACTTTTTTCTCAAAATGAATGCTTTATTCTTCACTTAAGATTAACGGGTTTAACTTTTCTTCGCCTTTGAATGATGAATGTTTTATATTTCTTATTTGATACTTGAAAATACAACATAATAAATACAATATATCGTGATTAAATATCTTATTTTTCTAAACTCAGCGAGATTTTTAAAAGATAATTTTTAGCCTCCAAACAATAGGATAACAGAGTAAATAAAGTGTTTTCCTTAGTTGTTTAATTTTTAACGTCTCAAATAGCGAAAACTGTCCCGATTCTAAATACATATTACTATTAAATTAATACTTCTGTCTATTTTAAGGCTTATTCTCAAAACAGGATTCAGCAACATTCAATGATTTGCATTAATACCATTACCGCAAATCCTATTGTGGTCCATGTATCCCTGGTGGTCTACGGACCCCTCGGAAGTCCACTGATTATAACTAAGGGATTCGCTTTAAATTTTCAAAAGGAAGTAATATTTTCAAAAATAATGGCAAGGTGGATAAGTAAAATTAAAAATAATAAGAATGTGAACTATAAACAAATATAATTGTCTTTCGAGTCTCTAAAGCCCAAGGAAATTAAAAAAAACAACACAGTTTTAGTGCATGGAGTCAAATATTTAATTTCTAAACTAGTTCTAATTTCTAAACAAATAAATAAAATATTTTAAAAGTTACCAAACTTTTTTCAAAATCGCCAATTTGGTGAGATTTATCTTCACAGATGAAAATTATAATTAATAATTTATATATATATTAATAATTACTATTATATATTAAAATGCTATTGTAATATTAATAATTGCGATTATTGGAAATTATCAATTTTTAAAAAAGTTTAATAACTTCTAAAATATTTTATTTATTTGTTAGTTCTTAACAAATAAATTCTCTAAGGTAAGATGGTATATATAGTTTAAAATTATAGCTTAGCTTCAAATGTAAGGCATTTAAATTGCAACTTTTTTTTATTTTCCTTAGCGAAAGAGCTTCGAAAAACCATGTTAACAGTAATGAATAACTTTTGCAAACCCATAACAGTTATAAAAATAGTATATTACATACAAAAAAGCCTAATTTCTGTTATTTACTTTAACAACAAGGGGTAGCCTTCGGGAAAAAGTATAAATATATAATTTTGCTTCAATTAAAAAATTTAAACACACTTTAAAATATACTTAATACTTTCAATAGATTTGTTAAAAAAACAATTACGCAGTAAGCTTTTAAATAAAGGCAGCAATATAAATTTGCGAAAAATCAGAATTGCTTTTACGGTAAACGAAACAATGTAAAAATTCAATTGAAGGATTTCAAAACCCTTCAAACTGATGATGCGTTTTTAGTTAACAATGGCCTTTTTTAAACAAAAGGTGTGTTTAAATTATATTGACATGTATTTTTCGATAAAAACCCGTTAAGTCTACAAAACATGAAAAGGCTTTAACGATAACGATTATCCAATGAAGAGATTAAAATGAAAAGTAAATAAAAAATCTTATCAAAATTAATAAATAGTACTTTTTTTTGTTTTGATTTCTCTCTTTAACTGTCTCCTAACACCATGGCGTTTCTCAGGGTTTTGTGCATTTGTATGACTTTAAATTTTGGATTTTCCTATGGTAAATATATTTTTTTCAAAACGTTCTCCGTGATTATACTAATGCGTGATCATATTTCGCATTTAATTCGTGCTTTATGTAATATGCTCTGATAGTTATAAATATTGCAGAATCTATTGTCCCTTTATTTTTAGCGACAGTGCTTTTAATTTTCTTACGCTGCAGTTTTCTCAAGGAAAGTATTTTCAAAATTTTAACACCCGTAATCCGAATATAAGCTAATTTGATAGACCTGAAAATATTTTTAATTTACAAATGTATTTTTATACTTACCTTTCCCCAAAACGTAAATGATATTTTTTTCCGTTAATTGCATGAAAAATTATTTTTTTAAGTCAAATAAACTTTTGAATTAAGTTATGTGTTTCAAACAAGTCTGTTTATTTACAGAAGAGGGTCATAATAATTTGAATACTGGTGGTTTAATTTTGTAGATCTAATATTTTTTTCGCTGTATTGTGAAAAAATGTTAGTACACTGTGAAATTTTTCCATTTTTTTTTCTATTTATAATACTTTTAGGAAGAAACTTAAATTTTGAGTTTGTTTAGGTAATAGTAGTTTAAAATTTTTTAATTTTTCGATGAAAATCAGCATCTTTGCAAATTTATAAACATAGTTAATGTTCTATTTACATATTTAAAGCTTTATTTACATGTATCAACAAATTTTAAATTTAATTACATATTTAATGTTTTTCTAACTTTGACTGATGGTTTTCGACAATTTATAGCAGAAAATTGATTAGATTAAAAAAGTGATTCTTGTCGTAAACTTATGAAAGGTGGCATAACTATCTGCTAAAGATCTTTTCTTATATTCAGAAGTATTTCACCATAAGCATCATTAAGTTTCAATTCAAAATTGCTTCGACAGATGGCGCTGCCACTTTTTTTCCTTTTAGAAAATTATTCATTTTTAAACTGTTTGAGGCAACGCTTTTAGTTATTAATAATAAATTCCAAATCAACCTAATATGTTAAATTTAATGTTAAAATTTATAAAATTTATTGCCTAAAGTTTACTGTTCAATAACGATTAAAAATTTACTCAACTCACTAATTTTAAACATTAAAAAAATTTATGATCTTTTATGCTTGGTTTTAGCAAGAAAAAATTTAGTTGGTTTAAAACATTGTATCGTTCTGTATATTAACCTGAGTAATTAAATTGGAAGTTAGGTCAAGCCTGGCAAATGGTTGAACGAGTTTTGTGTTTCGTCACATGAATTTTAAATTGATGTCAAAACAGAAATCCAATGCCCACTTACTAATGCAGATCCGGCCGGGAAAAAACTAGCCGCCAAAAATTGGAATTTATTTATTAAAGAGCAATTATAGTAACAGAAAACTTAGCAGAATTAAAGTATTGTTTTATGTTTTTTGTTACCTTGCGTATTATTTTGGGTGATTAATATTATTTCAATTTTCCTTTTTTCTTTTTATAAACAACCAATAATTCTCCTTAATAAACCAAAGCAAAACTTGTTTTAAACTTGGAAATCTTTTCTAATAACATTGTGTCATTTATTGTGTCTGGTTTAACAATCATATTATGTTTTAATTCAGATAAAAAGGATTTTACTTCCTCAATGTTAACCTATTGCAGAAATATATTCATAGTGAATTTTGAGAACGTATTTTCCTCATTCCTTCAATAACTAATTAATAATGGAATAATTTTTGCTTTATTCATTGAGTTGTGTTCCATTGAAACCATTTTCAAATTTTCATCATATTACATTTTAATTCTGACAGAGAAGGATTTTATTTTCTCAATGTTAACCCTACGCTGAATTCCAGCAATACATCTGTGAATGAAATTTCTGAACGTTCAGTAACTAAATAATAAGGTATTGTTTTTATTTTCTATTATACATTGAGTTGTGTTCTATTTCACCTAATTACTAAATTTTCATTAACTTATTACGTTTTAATTCAGACAGAAAACAATTTTACCTTTTCAATATTGACCCCGCGGTGAAATTTATGAATGTAATTTCCTAATTCATTCAGTAACTAATTAATAATGAAATGTTTTTTGTTTTATTTTATTTATTGAAGTGTATTCGATATAACCTAGATATCGAATTTTAAATTTTTTACTTTTTCAGACATCCTGTTTTGAAAACATTGATATCTTTAAAAAGTAAACTTTGGCAACTAAGTTCAATAAAACACATTTCCTTAAATGAAATGTTACAAAAAATGTTTCGAGACAATAATTTGTAGCTGAATGAATATTCATATTCGTATATACAAGGTGGTGGAAATATTTTTTTTTTGTCTTAAGAAGATCCTTAATTAGCACGAAAATGCCATATTCTTCTGTCATCAAAACTAATGTTTCTTTTTGAATATCAAAACAAATAGAATATTGTTTGAGTGTTATATTTAGAATTTGTCACTATGATGCATCAGTTATAATTAAGATGCGTTTTAAACATAATATGTAATATTTTCTGCATTGCCCATAGCAATTACCATTGGACTTTTCATGAATTTTGTATTTATGATGCTATTCAAAAGTGCCTTGATGTACTAACAATGGTGAGGAAATTTTCTTTGTAAAAGACGAATGATATATAAATAATTCATTTTCATTATTTAAAGAGATATTTACGTAAGATTACAACTAACAGTTTTTTCTCTCTCTATTTTTCGAAGCAAGAGGCGGACGAATATGACGCGTTTACAGAATTTTTAGTGATCGCAGTCAACAATCGATTGCTCTTTTTTAAACTTATAAGAATTATTTAAAATCGCAGTTTAGAGAACTACATTATGAAGAAATGTTTCGTTTTGGAACTTTATTAACGCTTACAACCTTTCATGTTGGAAGCTCCTTCAGCTTTTTTAAATGTAAATAAACGAACTTTTTAGATCTACCGAACGCAGAATTTAAATATTTATTTTTTTCAGTTTAAGTATCAGATCATTCGATAAATTTCTAAAGTGCAATTGGCGTCGGATATATGTGGACTTTCTGAAAAATGAAATTCTGAATTATCTACATTCGCTCATTCTTTCGTGTTATTAATATTGAAAGCATTATCGAAAGTGTTATTAATATTGGATTGATCACCAGACGTAAACCTTTCTATGGCTTTTAAAAAGATTTAAGTTATTTAAACTTCCTGCATGAAGTATTATTTTTAAAGAAGATAATTTCAAAGGAATGGGGTAAGTGACAGTTATTGCAATTAAATGACATGCAATCTAATATTGGAGATTTAGGATCTGAGGTAGATATTTGCTTTAATATTTTTTTTATAGTGTAGATTTTAAGACTACTGATATGGTGTAGATCAGGGATTCCTAACTTTCTGCACTAACGAGATTTAAAATTATCTCACGGCTTCTCAGGCATATTGTATTTGTCTGAGGCTTAATAGGTATTGTATTTGTACATACTTTAAAGTAATGTTTATAAGACTTAAAACTGAAATTATGAAATTAAATGGCAATAACTTAATACAAATCATTTCTTAAATTCAGTTAAGTACTTTAATAGTAATTTATAAGAAGGTGATATATAGTTACGATAAAGTTTTATTTATATAAGAAAAAAATCTAAGCAAAAAGAAATTAACATTCACTATTGTAGTTTGTTTAAAGTCATTTGTATTGCAGGTATCGTTATTTTTTTAAAAACTCATTACATAGCTTCTCAAAACTTGTTTAGCCTGATCTACCTACTAGAATTATTCATTTTCTTGAAAAAATTGATACTTAAAAATACAACTGCTTAAAACTCATCTGCGCACGATATGAAGTAGCGAAAGGAATCAAAACTCTTCACAACCTTTTTTTCTTTTTAAGAACATAAAATTAAGAGTTTATCGATGTTTGCTTCTCTTTTATAACTCTAGAACAGTTATTGCTAGCGTCGAGGAATTTGGACAGCGACCTAGAGAGGCAATTCAAAATTTAAATTACATCGTACGGGAGAGACGTTCGGAAAATTGATGTTTTATAATTTTATATTTAACAACTGGCGATGAGCAGCAGACCCAATTCTGAGTTTACAGCTATCAATGTCAAGCTCCTTAGTCTTGTAATTTTGAAACTAAATCCAAAAGACACGAAAACTTTGGCAGAAACATCAGGACTAACTAAGTTTCATGGAGGATTTTTTGATGGAACTAAACCTCATTTGCACTAAATGGAGTTGAAAATCACGAAAACCTCCCTTTCTTAGACCGACGGCAAGGGGATTCTAAACCGTTGTCCGTCTATCACTGAGGATATTTTACACCTACACTGCGGTCTGGGTGAGCCGGGAGCAGATCTCATATCAACCAGCCACCACTGAGATTCGAACTTGGGTGACCTCATTTGGAGCAAACGCTGCATCTCCAGAGCCACCACTCATTGGACAAACATTAGCGAATGTTATTAATTTAACTGTAGATGAAACTCTTTTTCCCCATACACTTAACAGATAAAACCAGTAATGTTTGGACGCTTACAGCTCTGTTTGATAAAAAAAGAAAGCCTATTGCAGGTTCTTTAATAATTAATTATTTTTGTTTCGCTATGTCAAGATAGGTGAAGGATCCACGTGTAAGCTACGTCCCCAAATGAGTATTCCTAAAGTTATCTGAAACCACGTATTTATTTTGTTTACAGTTACGGTTTTGAAAAGTGTTTCTACAAAAATAAATGATTCCAAATTAATTACAGTTGAAATAAAATAATAAGTTTTGTAGTATGAGTAGTAAAGGGCAAAATTACAGGAGAAAAGGTACTTATTTGCTTCAGGAGACTAAGGTTACGATGGACTGGACATATAATTAGAGCTAAAGACGATAAGGCCACCAAAAATGTTTTTATAGCAATACCAACTAGCACTCAAAAAAGAATGCGGTCTGAATTTAGGTGCTTGAACTGTTTCATTAATAATCTAAAAACATTAAAAATATCTACGTGGAGAGACAAAGTCAAAGATAGGGTCCCGTGTATCAACGCCTAAAGAAGGCCAGGGCTCATCCTTGGTTGTTGTCCAACTAAAGAGGAAAGGAAGACGTTTCTAAATACACGTTTTGTCTCGCTTTTGTTCACGCTTTCGTAACTCTTATTAATGATGATTTATTGATTATTTAATTTCTCCTTCTCATACGAAGAACGGGTCTTAAGTCTTTAATGCATCTAGAAATATATCACCTCTACATTACCATGGCATATACTTTGGAAGTCCCTGGTGTAGATTATATCAGTAATTCTAACGATTTAACAGCACAATGTCACTTTTAATATTATTCATTTCACGCTAATGATCGCCCGCTTCAAAGTACCAAACATTGCTACTGCAATTAATCTTTCGTTTGTTTCTTATTAACACTAGATTGCCTAAGGAAGTCATTTTGACTGCTTTTAATTTCAATTAGAAGAACAATGGTGTATATAATGACACAATTTCTTAGAATTTTGTACAACATATAATTATTTAATTGTTAATATTTACCAATAACTCGTTATATAACTGTAAATAATATAAAATATATTAAAAATTAATTTAAAAAAATTTTCTTCACACATTATTTATTCTTTTGCAATCCAGTCATTTTGACTGCTTTTGGGCAATATAGGTCCATACTAAATTTTCAGTCTTTCTAGTGTTAAAAGACTGCAAATTTTAGTAGCTTAAATTCTTTTCGAAGGCTTCAGAGCAACCCATTTTTAAAGAAACTGGAATGCGCTAGGACTATGAACTACATAAATACTATAGCATATTCCATTAGCATTGTTTTGCTTGCATATGATACTAGCACACATTTAGAGTCCTAATTTTGAACTTATAAAAAAATTTAAAGGAAAAGTAAAATTAAAATAAATGTCATAAAATATAAATTTGCAATATTAAAATATAAATTTGCATAAAATAAAAATATATTATTTGCAAATCTCATCAGAGAACTATTAACCTAATAATATTGCGAGGCAATTTTTTTTTTAAATATCTGGCCTTGACCTCATTTATATTGACTCTTACGCAATGTGACCCCCAATGCCTCTAACACTAACTGTTTTCAACTTTAACAACTTCAAACAGCTTAATTACTATGCAACGAATTCGCAATATATTTTTGCTTAAGGTATTACTAGTTGCAACAACTAAGTATGCCCAGAATCGTAAATTGTTGTTGGTTCTTATACGAACCAAAACAACTATAGTGTCAATAGTCAAATATGCATTAAAATTATTGTTTCTTTTAAATGGACTTGCTCTGGACTCATCCATTGTCAAAACAATCAATTACTTCATTTCTCTCATTTTCTTGTAATTAAAAAATAAGTTTATGACAGTACTAAATCATAATATTGATCAAATTTGTTACAACCTTAATACGGTATAAAGCTGGAATGTATTTAAAAGATTTTGCATCGAGTTCGTTTTGCGTTAACCGAAACGTTATCTTTATTCTTTTCCTCTTACTGTTAATAGTGGGGAAATTTTTGCGCATGCGCTGTAATGCTCAAATTAAAAAGCAAGTGACTTTCTGCAAAATCTTTCTGTTATTGATTATTTATCTTTCTTAAACTTGATTACACTACTGAATTTCAACTTGAACGGAAACATAGTACAACTTATTTAAGTTGAAGCAAATTTGCATATTAATACGGTTCAAAATACAAACATTATGGTTTAGCTTTGAAACAATTTTTCTACTATGTGAAATTACGGCTAATTATAATTTTTTTTTTCATTTGTAGCTTTTACATTTAATGAATTTTTTATGAGGGAGAAATGTATGACAGAACTAGGTTGTTTTTCTGCTGGTAAGCCATTCTTCGATTTCATGGAGCGACCAATGAGCCTCTTACCAGACGACAGAATATCAATTGATACACAGTTCTATTTATTTAATGCTTCCAGTGGAATGACACCTCTTACCTTTAGTAACTTGGATTTAAGTTTCTATGATATTGACAGCAGTGGTTTCAACCCTAAGGTTAAGACAATTTTCGTCATACCAGGTTTTATGAGCAAGTTTGCTGACTATTGGAAAATAGTAAGTGTAACCTTTCAATATTTTATTCTATTTTTTAAACGGTCACAGTTATAGTTATCCTTCTTGCTTCCGTGAAAATGACGAGGTGAGGTTTCGCCCTCTATTTCTCGCTCCCGTGAAATTTCCGGGCTGGAGATTTAAGTAGTAACGCGCCAATAAGAATAAAACTAATTCATTTCTTTTGCCTGGATAACATTTTATTTCTCATTTTACACACCAGATGGCAGTACCAAGATATTTTTAAGGTAATTGTAGATAGTTTATTTTAAACTAGATGTCAATACTAATCTATCAGAATCTACTGAAAAAAAGGCACTTTTATGACCGTTTTCTTGAAAATTAACCGATCGTTAAGGGGTTAAAGAGTTGATAATTATAGTTAAGGCAATATATAGATGTGTCTTATTTTTTTCAAATTGCGGCGATGATTGTTTTTGTCGAAATGCACTATGATTTCTGTGTCGACAATAAGATGTTTTTATGTATTGTGCTGCCATCTCGGAGATATTTATGAAAATGTTTAAGTATATATTAAGATACAATACTAAAGGGCAGTTTTACATAAAAATGTCACCTTGGAAGAAGTGTTGTTTATCACTATATTGCCCGAGGCTCATCATGGCTCTAGTATAGAATCAGGGGCCAAAAAAGGGAAAATTTTTGAAGGTGTTTTTTATAACGCCTTTCACATCCTCTTAAAATGCCTGCTGTTAGGATATTTTTGACATTGATATTGATGTTGTTTTGGTATTGATAATTTCAGTCCCGCTTCCCTTAGCAGTGATTTATTAAATTTTTGACAGTCCTTTTTAAATAAATTGTTTATGGCTATTTATTTACCAGTTAATGATTATTTATTGTACTTTATTGCTAATATATGACATTTAACATTACTTTTTGTCAAGGATTTTAAAAGAATATTCCAAGGGCCTTCATATGGGATATCCTTAATTACAATGTAACATCATGTATCACGTGTTGCTGTTCTACGTGTATGCCAACACATTGTATAGTGAAGAAGTACTGATATATTGGCTTCTGTTTTGCGGTTTTAGGCTCCTTGGCGACCTATCACATTTTTTTTTACTTCTTAAATTTGACATAACTTTAATTTACTTGATAATACTAGAAAAGGAAATGTTATCAATATCCTGAACAATCTTTTATTTAATTTTTTTATTTTATGGAATTTTTTTCTTAAAAGATGTCTATACCACAAAAGAACTTTTTCATCGCAAATTCTGTTTAATCTCCATAACTAATTTAAAATTTTAAATATAGAAAAAAATTAATTCTGCCAAACTTAGAGGAAACCCCGAGGTTTCACTTGTTAAAAAAAATCAAAATATCAAAATGCAAGCAAATTATTGGAAGACAATTTCCCGATTGCGTAATCTTAAGTTATCCTGTAATAATTTGTTTTCATTTTGATTTTTTGAAAATTTCTTTTCAGTATTTATAACTTCATGGCTCACTTTAACTTTGCCTGAACTCTACTTTTTCAATACTTTAAATTTTATATTATTTATAGTGGTGAAAGAGAATTTGTGATGAAATGTTCCTCCGTTGTTAAACCATCCTCTTAAATTATCATTACTATTGAAAAGTAGTTTTCTATATTTGGGAACTATAAATTGTTGGTAATCACGCACTTATATGAATAAAAGGTAGCAGAGATAAATATTGCTCATCTTTGTCTTGCGCATGTTCACTTGTGTTGTTTTCACTTTATATTCTACAATAGTGCAGGAATACCTAGTGTTACTTACTCAATGAATTGAGGCATAATAATTCAGTAAAAAGTTCATATTGCCTTTTAAAATACGAGTTTATTGTTAAATAAGCATAAGTAAGTATAAGTACATTAGCATGTATAAGTGGGTGAGTTAGTGCTCTTAACAAGATGGAGGATAGTGAAGTGAAACTTATTAAAAGTTAAACATTACATAATTAAACAGCGCCATCTAGTGGTTAAAATAATAAATAGTGAATCATTGAATTGGAAGATTAGTGAAGAAATATCTATTTTATAACATAAATTTTCCTATCAAGCAATCTTTTTATTTTTTAAACTAAAGTAAAAAATTGAAATTATTATTTTTTAAAAGTAAGTTCATTTATTTTAGCCTCTAGTGAAATCTTTACTAAGTATTGAACCATGCAACGTTTTCCTTGTTGACTGGCAACATGGTGATGGACCGTTGTATGAACAAGCTGTTGCCAACACTAGGGTAGTCGGGGCGGAAATTGCTCTGTTCCTAAACAAGTTGAAGGTAAGTCTTATAAATCTCATTCGCCTTAAAAATATATACATAGGAAATAACGGTCGATATGTTTCATGCTCTCAAAAAAAAAGCAGGTGCCCATTTTCAAGACTTGCTAGACGGGAATGAAAAGAAACAAGAGTGATTTGAAATATAAAACGTAAAGTTTCTAACGAAAAATGGAAAAGTAAAGGTAAAACTAGAAAAACCACGGTAACCGACAGGAGCAAATCAGGGTAAAATGTATTTCCATGCTCTATAGAGAGATGGTGAGGAACTAATGTCGTTAACAAGGGAATCAGCATTCATAGGAATGAAACAAGATTCCAGAGAATCAAGATGTGTTGATGTGACTGGAGTGGAAATATTGGGTGCCCATTTTTGAGAGTTTGAAGCATGTCAACTGTTACTTCCTATTTATATATTTTTGAAATGAATGAGGTTTTCAGTTGAGTAATATCTTACCAGTTCATTTTTTGTGGAGATTATTTATGTAGCCCTGTCTCATATTGTATAATACAGCATTCCGGATATACCCCGTTGTGGGTTAAACGGATGAAAAGGCACTACTATTTCGTAACCAATACGTGATTGTGGAGGATAGTATTGCGTACGTCTCAATAGTGTACTGTATTGAAGTAAACAATGGTTAACGTACTATTTATCAAGTAGTGTTTAAGGCAGGAGGTTACTTTATGTTTTACAACAAATAATTTAATGTGCATTTTAAATTTTACTTCATAATAAAGATTAATCTCTACCGATTCTAAAACAATTCTTTTAAATTGCATTATAAGTATTTTTTTAAATCTTTTTTCTTTCTATGCTAAACAATTGTAAGTGTTGCTGACGCCGTTTTGGGTGTTCAATTTAACGCTACATTTTGTTTTCCCGAGAAAAAAACTTCAAGACTTAGAAAACTGAAATTACGAAGACATGTTGAAAAATGCAGAAGGAATGCAATGGAATAAAAAAATTAATTTTCGTTAATTAGTTCGAAAATTGTTGATTGTTAAACATGTTTGGGGAAAATACCACACGTGATGATCTATAGGCAACAGGAATGCAACTACAGTGTTGAAATTTGGTATGCTGAAAAGGCCATATCTATTTATGAACTTAACACGCATTTTTTTTCTCTGAAATTTAATTTTTTTTTGAAAGCTGCAGCAATTCTAAGTGTTTTCTTTTGCGAATTTTTTGCTTTTATACACAAAATGTAGAAGGAATACAATGGAATAACAATGGAATTAACTTTCGTTAATTTGTTCGAGAATTAACTGTTAAACTTGTAGGGAAAAAATAATATGTTTTGCAGATCTGTAGCGTGCGGAAATGCAACAAAGGAGTTAAAATTTAACTTGCTGAGTATTATATTTATGAGCTTTACACGAAACTCCAATTTGTTTAAAAAATACAAGTTAAAGTGTTTTTTTGTATTTCAGATTTTTTTCTTCAGTTTTTTTTGTTTTAAATATTCAATATTAAATCCATTGTAGTAGAAATTTTTTTTTTCTCCACAAGATACGTCACTTCTACAAATTGCTACTCTTTTTTTTCCCTTAGGAAAAATATGAATTTTCTTTTGAATCTGTTCACCTTATTGGACATAGTTTGGGGTCACACATTGCTGGCTATGCTGGAAAACTACTTCATAAAATTGGCAGAATAACAGGTCAATAATTTGAATGATATTTGTATATATCCAGGACTGATTATGGTTTTAATTAGCATTGCAATAGATGTAAAAGCTTTAAAAACTCAAAAAAATATTTTAAAAATTGTTAAATTTGCTTTAAATTTTGTATTTTGCTGTCATGCGCATAAAGTTAATGTAATAGAAAAAAAATTCTATTAGCATTTTGTATAAAATTTCATTAATAAATGTATAATTATATAATATAAAAATAATTAATCATACATTTAACAAGGCAGCTGTAAAAATATAATCACTGGAAGATTTCCGTATCGTGATCTGTGCCAGAATAATTGCTAAGTGTCGGCAATTTTCAGGCTGGCAAAAAAAAGGGGATTAACTTTAACATGCATTTTTTTAATTTGCAAGTTTAAAATATTTTTGGCGCCTTGGCGATTGTATTTGGCATGACAGATCACTAAAACGTAAATATCCCCATAATCATTGAACATTGATTACTATTATAATGACATAAATACTAAGTACATTTTCATGGTGGTTTGTTGGTTATCATAATGGCATAACCACATTTTTCTCTTAAAGTAAATTCTATTAGTTGTCTGATGTCTACTATAATAGAATAAATGCATTTTTCTCTTTTTCGTAGCTCTGGATCCTGCCGGCCCATATTTTACAAATGTGGAACCTATTGTGAGATTGGACAAATCTGATGCATTATTCGTAGATGCTATTCATACTAATGCCGCCCCAAATCGTTTTCAAGGTTGTATCATATTTCTTATTGAACTAAAAAAAAAAGAAAAGATAAGGAATAAAATAAGAAATGAAATCAAATACCTATCTGACGCACTATCAAAATTTTGAATTACTTTATGTTTCAGAAGCATTTTTTGTTCTTATTTGCTATCATCCAAAAATGCTTAAATTTATTTTCAAAAAGTTTCAAAGTGTTTCAATATAATGAAAATATTGCGTTCTCCTCTATTTGCTCGAGAGAAAACCTTAAAAAAAAAAAAAAAAAAAAAGATGGACTAAGGTATAGTTATAAGAAAATAATTCTTGCTTTTTATCATATTTAACTCATGATTTATGCATGAATGGTTATGCATCATAATTATGCATACATCATTCTCAAAATTTTTTTTGCCACATATGGAGATCAACTGCTGCACGTGACAATAATTAAATTATAGATGGATAAGAGAGAACTTTTTTTTTTCTTCTTTCTGTTACCGTTAATGAACAGCCGATCCAATTTTCGGGTTTACGACTATTAATGTTAAACTCCGTAGCCTTGTAATTTTGAACCCAATCTAGAAGACAAGGAAACTCATGTATCAAGTATTTTATTTTATTTTTTATTTTATATCCGTAGTCGAACTGCAGACTCAATTTTTGGGTTTACGACTACTAATGTTCAAATACGTAGCCTTCTTATTTTTGAACCAATCCAGAAGACAAGGAAACTCCTGGATCAGTACCCCCAGAGGTATTGATTTGTTATGGGAACATGGAGGACTTTGCGACTCGACAGATTTAACGTGCATCAGTCACCATTTACGTCAACGGGGATCGAACCCATGAACTCTTTACCATAGGCATAGTGCCCTACCAACCAAGCTATCCCGGCCATGCATCAAGTATTGGGAGAAATTTACCTTCGAAGAAGATTTTTTGATGGAACTATATGGAAAGGAAAAATTGCGTAAACCTCCCACGGTTAGCCTGACTGCCAGAAGACTCTAACCCATGGTCCGTCTGTCACTGAGGATATTTTGCGTCAGTCCAGTGGTCGGTTTGAGCTGGATGCGGAATTCGAATAACAGGTATTACTGGGATCGAACCCGGGTCACCTCGTTGGGAGGATAGCGCTCTATCCCCTGCTCGAAGCACTGCTCGAACTTTTTATTTTAATAAAATAGGTAGGAATGAATTTTTTCTTATAGCAAAATACGTAAGGTGAGTAAAATATCCCATTGATGAAAACTGAAACATCCGCCAATGTAGGCATCGAAAATTATTGTTGTAGAAAATTTATTATAAAAATAAAATAAAATAAATAAATAAATAAATAAATAAATAAATAAATAAATAATAATAATAATAATAATAATAATAATAATAATAATAATAATAGTTGTTGTTCCTGCTGTTTTGCAAAATTTGTGAAATGTCAAAACTTTAATGCATGTTATAAATTTTTGCAGGCTTAGATTCAATATACATTTTACACTAAAAATTAAGTTAAATAACTTTTATGTAATTTTTGATAATAAATATGAACAAATTTTCTTAAAATTTAAATATTTAAGAGCATTTAAAATTAACCTTTGAAATTTTAAAAGAACATTTTTCTTTTGAAATACATATTTAAACATAACTTTTTTATTCTTAAATTAAGTTATTGTTGAATTAAATACTTGCAATCATTCTTTTTTTTTTTTTTTTTTTTTTTTTTTTTTTTTTTTTNTTTTTTTTTTTGTTAAAGTATTGTTTCCAATGAAAATCAGAACAACGGATAATTTCAAAAATCTTTTGTACGCAAAAATGTATACAAGAAAAGCAATGAATAATTTAATTTTAATTCTTTCCAAAAAAATTTCTAGAAAAAGTGTAATCGAAACTTTATAAGTTATAATGAATAGTTAATAATGTTCATAATGTCTTGTATGTTCAAAATTCAGTTTGCATTTGTCTCCCATTATCTTCGAGAGATGGCAGCACTAAAACGATTTTGGTAAGATTTATAAGACTGAGTTTTGTTTTTCAAGGTTTTAAAGGATATTTAGAATACATAGGAATTATATACATAAGATTTCGAATTTTTATTTCAAGTATTATAAAGCGTATAAGTTGAAAATACATTAAAAAATTTACGCATAATTCGATTATAAGAGCGTTTTAAATTTAAATGAATAAACTAAAATTAGAACACTATATTTTGCTCTATAACTATAACTAATCATTCACTTGGACTACGAATTCAATATGTGTATATTTTTACTTTTTTTTCTAATCTATATTTTACAAAACGCTCACCGGGATTTCGAATTCAATAAAATTTTTTGCATTCCCAATTATGAGCTAAAACAAACTGAGCTATAAACAGGGCAGAAATATAAAAATGCGAAGTGAACAGTTGATATAAACAGAAAAACAAATCGTTTATTTCAGTATTAATTTTCAGAAGTTGAATGATAAATTAAAATAATTTAAAACGATAATTTAAAGAGATGTTTTAATGAAACAGTAAAAGAACATTAATCAACAGAAACCGACCTAAAAGTGCCAGTTTAGTCTTTAGGCGCTTTTTTTAAATAATGCCAAACTTCTGTTTTTCACTACTTTTGATCCTCTCCCTCCCTTTGTCACAAAGTGAGACAGTTTACCACTCAGTTCTACCTCTTGTCACATATGTCACGCTTTTCTACAAAAATATACGCTTGCTGTTCAGAAACGGAGTACCATGTTATTGATCATGTTTCAAACCTTATTTTTTTTAAAAGTTTAACTACGTTGGCATTTGTGAAAAAAAAATAAGGATTGTAAGTGAGCAGATTTTGTATAAAATAATATTAAAATTTACAAAAAAAAGAAGAAAAAGAATACGCATATATTTTTAAAGTCAGCGTAGGAGAAAAATATAGTAGATTAAATAGTTGATTTTCCGCGGTTTTATTTTTACCAAAATATGTAATGTCACATTCTTTGTTGCCTGTCTTCCTCCTCCCTGTCACAAACTGTCACTATCGTTTATCGGAATCAAATGTAGGTAAAGCACGCACGTTTTTCTTCAAATGATCCGATTTTATTTGTTGCTGTGTATCTAAAAAATAACTATCTTTTATTTTCCATGTATTTAAAAAAAATTTAAGCTCTAAAAATAAGCACGAAAATAAAAGTTTTATATAATTCCTTCTCATGTTTGGTTATATATTTGTAATTTTATGATGTTGCATTTTTTACATTATAATGAGGTTGAAAGACTTAAACAATCATAAAAGTTTTATTGAAAATTTTTATATATTAATTATATTCTTTAATAAAAAAATAATATGTAAATTATAATAGTGGTTTGATAAGAAGGCAAATAAAGGCCCTTATGTATTTCAAACAGAACTCGATCCAACTTCTGTTTTCTGCTTGATTGAATAATCAAAAGTCTGTTCCCTGATTCAACTGAAACGTTTTTTGAAACGTGATAGAGCGGCTTCAAAGAAAAAATTTGATAAAACTAATTTAAAAAAATAATAATCTAAAATGATTATTCTAAATGAAACTAATATTTTAATTCGGTTTAAAAAAAATGTTTCCAAAAAGAAATCGCAGCAGAACACAAACAAACAACTGCTCACTCAAGCTCAAAACATTGATTGAGCAAGAATTTCTACTTCTCGGACGAACGATATCGGACAAGTGAAAAAACAATTGCTTAAACAATCCGGCAATGACGTTATCGTTCGCACATTTGTTGCCCGATTTTATCGGTATCATGTTGTACAATGAAAAAGAGCTCTGAGGAAGAGATCTTAGTAAAAAAGCGCCACTAGCGGCGTATGACGACATTTCCAATCGTATGCAGTTTTAATCTTGTGGATGTGCCATACCATTTCCTGTCGCCATCTCTAGCATTTCCTGCACCTATCATTGCCTGTCGCAAGATTCATGCGACACCTTGCTACATATAACTTATTAGCATTTGTACATTTCGACAAAAAATAAGCAAAAAAGGTTTTTTCTTATTTTATTAAGAAAGAGCTTTGAGGCAGAAACCGATTGCAGATTTGAAACCAGCGATATGAAAGTATCAAAGATCTTTTAAGTTTTTTTTTTAGAAGGTTCCGGTCAATTTGCGAATAATGTGCTATTTTTCTTCTGTGAATTTCTGTGACTTCGCAAAAGTTTAGCCTATCTAATGCCATTGCTGTCTATTTTGAAAACGGCGCAAAACTTTCATATGTAGGAAAAGCCTCAGCTTTAGAAAAATGAAAAGCGTTTGTGGTCTAATTTTTTAATGTTTAAAAACTTACCCCAATGCTGCTTTATCTAGGCTCAAACAAAATTTGAAAAAACTGAGAATAAGGCCGTTATTTTGATATTGCCGCTGTGACATATAACGGCCAAAATTCTAAAAAGATATAAGGCGGAAATATATAATACATTCATTGAAATGATTTATTTTCGGATCATGACATTTTATATAATTGATATATTTGTACTTTATAAATTTTTTTTTATACCTCAATAGTTAACTAAGCAGATTTTTATATATTTATTTATTTAGTTTAAAAGTAGTAAAAAAGTATATGAAACTTTTAAACATGAGCACAAAATCGAAAACTTCTTTTGGCTAATGAGTCCATATTGAACCCGAGCTGCAAGAATTCAAAATAATTGTGCAACACTGGTTTTTCAGTTTTAACTTCCTTCTTATGGGAGTGGATTGTTCCATATGCTTTGTAGGTGAATAAAAGTAGTGGTTTTTGTCGGAAATATTTCTGAAATAGATACGTTAGACAGAATTTAACTTGCAGCCAGAATTTAAAAATAAAAAACAGGACATTACCTAGTAATAAATTGCATTCAGCAGCATTTCGATGCCTCAAGTTTAACATGATTTTTAAAAATAATCTTATATTATAATATTTACATATTTCTCTTTAATAGTTAAAATAGTTTTGTTTGAATTTTTTTCCTTTGAGGTGTATTTTAATAAAGAATTTCTTACAAATTTAATAAGAAGTATCTTTGGTAAATGTAATACGGAGAAATGGCTCTTAACCTTAATAACATCAATCAGTGTAAAAATACAGGGCAAGGAACCTTTATCTAAAAAAAAAAAAAAAAAAAAAAAAAAAAAAAANCTTAAAAAAAAAAAAAAAAACCAAAACAGTGTGGTGAATACCGGGTGAGTATGAATCAGGAATGGTTATTTATCTCCAAAAAAGCATTTGGAGTTTGAGGCATTTCCCGCTTTTCTCCACTTGCAAAAGATATGAAACAATCCACTATAATAGCGAGAGAGTTTTGATTTGAAAAGTCAGATTTAGGATGCGAAATAATAAAGCAGTGTGAAACAAAAGACGCCAGTTGTTTTACATTTGGCGTTGAATTCGTTAGAGCGTATTATACCGCTAGACGAATTAGAAACTCACCCGAATGAATTAAAAGATATAACGAGCTTTTAACGAGCTCCTAGAAACCGCAATATTTACTCGTTACAACTGAGTGGTCGTAACAAACGGGTTCGTGGAAAAATCATAAGAGTTTATACATACTTACTAAATTATAAATATTGCATTCTATTTATTAAATTATTGTTTATTATTAATTTATTGTTTATTATTAAGTTATTGTTTATTATTAATAAATTATAATTATAGTATTTTATTTTTTGCAGTACAAAAGAAGTTTTTTGAAGAATTTGCTTTGAACTATTTCATTGTGTCTTTGTTGTCTTATTGTTTTTCGGTCATTGTTGTTTGTGTCTTTGTTGTGTAATTGTTTTTCAGTATTTGTTGCATGTGTCTTTGGTGTGTTAATGTTTTTGAAGTTATACTTCTTATGCGACTTCCAACAAGGTTGCGTTAAACGCTTAACGCTACATTTTTATTGGCCGGGAAATCACGTGGTAGGATCCAGTTTTCCCTCATTCATTTCTATATTGTTTTGGTTCTCACTAGCATAAAAATAATAAAAGTCATAAAAGTATTGTTTTTCTATAAATATTTTTCTAGTTTGTTTTGATACACATATAATTTAATAGGGTAGTATTTTTTATTTTCAAATTTAGCGGATAACAATTGTAAAAAATGAGTGAAGACAATCCCACGGACAATGCGACGGATTTAAGGTTATGTTAAAGTACGTCTCTTGTGAATATCAATTGATTGTTAGGTTTTCTCTTCTGAAATTACATTATGAAGCATTCACATACGTTATTAATGCAAATAAATTTTCCAGGGCGAGACGATGAGGCAACCACAAGCACTTCCACTGGTTCAAGAGGTAAAAATGCACAATATTACCGTGATTACAGAGCACGGAAGCGAGCGGAGCAGGAAAAAGAGTCGTTGAATAGAACTAGTGATCCTTCTACGACTGCTGATTCTTCTACAATTAACGTCGCAGATTGCGAAGTTTAACTTCTTCCGCGCAGTGGGACTCCACGAACTATTTTTTAGGTCTTTGTTGTTCGCGTCTTTGGTGTGTTATCGATTTTCGGTCATTGTTGTTTGTGTCTTTGTTGTGTTACTGTTCTTCAGTATTTGTTGTGTTATTGTTTTTAGGTTTTTGTTGTTCGTGTCTTTAGTGTGTTATTGTTTTTCAGTCTTCGTTGTTTGTGTCTTTGTTGTGTTACTGTTTGTACCCAAAAACACAAGGGACAACAAAAAGGAATTCGTGGACTCGAAAAAACATTAAAAAATAATTTTTTCAAGAAGGGATAGTTGAGCTGGACAGGTGAAATTAAGTAATTTTATAAATCACAAAAAAGTTAATCGCTAGAACCAGAGTTTTCTCGTTAAAAGAGATCTAAGTTCCAATAGACTTAACACTGTACCAACCAAGTATTTTCGATTTCTTCTTTAAATTTGGGTTCTTGTAATATCTGGAGTCGTGACAAACGAGTTCGACTGTATTTAGTAGGTCATAATGTGTTTTGGTCAACATTTTGTGAATGATGTAAATAGATTTATTTTTATTTCTATGGCAGGTTTCGGATTGGTTGAAAGTATAGCTCACTTAGACTTTTGGCCAAATGGTGGTCATTTGCAACCTGGTTGTCCAGATATGGGATCTTCTATTTGGACATTCATCACACATCCTACTTTAGGTAAGTGATACGCGAATCCATGCAATGCTTGCCAGAAGTAAGCAGGAATACTTTAATATTCAGAGAAATATTCTTTTAATAACCTATATAAAGTATTTTTTTTTTAAAGAAAGAAACCGGCTATTTTTATCGTACGTATAGTTTTTGTTTGGCTATGTCATACGGAGAAAAAAATACAAATGAAATTACAGTACTGTATGGTAATAACATTTCTTGTTTTTTAAAAAAAAAATCATTGAGAACACGCTCCCCCAAATATAACTGGTTTTTATATCATGCTCTAAGGCAGTGTTCCCCAATCCCCGGTCCGCGGACCGATCAAGTGGTACCGGACCGCCCATTTCATTGAAACTGAATTTAAATTCCTAGGTTTATACCCCAAATTAAAAATATCTGTGTTCCATTAAAATTTTATTTATTTAGAAAAAGGGGGCCCCGAAGGTAGTGACATAAATTTTTTAATTTTTGTAAAGTATCATTCTCCCCGATTACCCCCAGATTGAAACGTCTCATTGCAGAGAAACATGCTCAGGGTTCTCATTAATTTAACGTTCTAGTAAGTTAAAATGTTTAATTACTTTTTATTTCATTTTATTTTGAAGACATGTTTGAATACAATTAAATTAAAATTAATAAATCGAAATAATCTAAAATATGAACAATCAGCGCCCTCCCCCCAGTGGGCCGTGGTAAAATCATCAAACGTTGACAAGTCCCCGGTGATAAAAAGGTTGGGGAACACTGCTCTAAGGTGTCATGATAGAATTACCAAATTTTACCACATTTACTAAATCTTATCACATATTATCAAACTATATGTTACAATGTTTTATTTTCGGTAGAAATTACGAAGCTTTTTTGCGTTCCCATCGGACCAGAAACACGGGAAATTTCACCATATTCTGGTACTTTGGATCATATTATTTTTTCAGTGCATGTTTTTTACTTACACCTTATTATTTTCACTGTCCCAAAAAGTTCTAAAATTTAGTAAGAAAATGTAACGTGAGGACGGTACTCTAGTGCAACGAATCCCAAAAGGTGTTCTAAGTTCTGAGGAACCCTGGGTTTTACGGGGAAATATCAAGAGTTCTCCGTGAGTTATTACCTTTTTTTTTTAACCAGTAATGATTTTTGAAACCTACAATAGGTTGTATTCAACCCAAAGTCAATTATTTATTCAATAATTTGGTTAATATTTCGAAATCATTTAAGTAAAATGCCTGAAAAGAAATAAATGGCAAATTTTAAAATATATGTTCATATTTTGTTTCCAATAATTTTTCCAGCTATATTTTTTCAAATATTACTTTTCGAATTGAAAAAATAACTAAAAGGATATGCATTTACAAATAATTTTAGCAGTATTTCTCCACGAACTTTAAAATTCAAAATAAAATAACCAAATTAAATAATACTTATTATTTTACTTCGAAAATCATTCTTACATTTTATAACATTTATTTTTTAAAAACCACAATGCGGTTATTTTATTCAATTTGATTTTATGTATTTGCCAAAAACTAATAAACTAGAAGTTGTTGCAGACTTGCACATTCAACTGCCTATAAAAACTTAATTTTAATATTTTTTATTGATGAAAAATTGATACATTTTCACTCTTCACATTTTATGTTTCTAAATTAGTTTGAAAGTTTTAATTTTTTTGTTAGCATATTCATTTGTGATAATTTAATCTTTTAAAATCATTTTACCAGATAGTTTCAGGGTTCCACCAAGAGAAGTTCGATTGTTTAGGGTTCCTAAACCGAAAAAAAGCTAGAAATTGCTGCTCTAATGATATTCCTTCTTTTATTTTGTTTATTTTTTACTTTTTCTCTTCGAATTTGCATTAAACTTAGTTTAGTACACCGTTTATTTTAGTTATATTGAGTGCTTGTGTTTGACGAAACGAACTGAAACAAATCGCTTCCGTATCATTACGATCCACGTTTAATAATTTTAACGTGTGCTTGCAAAATGTTAAAAAAAATGTTTATTTACAGATGGTGCTATAAAAGTTAATTTTCACAATTTAGAAGCAAATATAGAAGATTTGAAAGTCTGCACGATAAAATATTAAACGTAGAAAAGGTTAACAGAGTTTTTCTACTTTTAAAGCTTATTTGGAAATTTATTATGATAAAATTTCTTTCTAAGTAATAATAATAATAATAACAACAACAACAACAATAATGATAATAATAATAATAATAATTTTAGAAAGTTTTCAAGCTCTCTTACCTCTTATGAATGTGGGATAATAATTTGAATTATATACATGAATCATTTTATAAAAGTTTATTAAGTATGATAAGATTGAAATAGTAAAAGTAATTTTTGTGATAAAATGTCAAAGAAATTTCTAAAATTATTTTAAAATTTTAAATTTATGAACCATTAGAGCGAGTAAGTTCTGTAATCTAAAATCTGTGTTTTATTTTCTATTTAAATAAAAAGTATTTATAAAAATTGTAGAAAATTTTATTTGTTTACTTTAGAACATTCACGAAAAAAAAGATTTATTTAAAGTCAATCAAGTCTCTCAATTTATACAGTTTTTTAATGCAGCATTATGAAAATTTGTGTTCATTATTTGATAAAAATGTAACAAGTGGAGAACTTTAAATTTATATGAAAGAATAAAAATAATTCTTATAACTATTTATAAGAAATTTCTGAAATTATGTCAGATTACGTTTTGCATTCTAAGATAATTAAAAACTGCGTGTTTTTTTTATTTTATCAAAGAAAAAAAATTCTTCAAAGAAATAATAAAAAATTAAGGTTAAAATAATAAAAGATATTAAATTTCAAATATAATTTAAAATAAATTTTTTAAACAATTTCTTTTTGAGATCAATTTATTAAAAACGAACTGAACTGAATTAGGAACTTGGTTTATTATCAGTGATATTCTTAAAATAATATTTTCCCATGTTATTGCCAACAATAGAACATGTGGCAAAGCTTTTGCTCTTCCTGACAGCTGCACTATATCTAAAAAAAATCACGTGATAGGAAATGTTATTTCACATTTGTTGAATTAACTCATTCATTTTGGCGTAGTGCACCTACGCCAAATGGCTTTTTTGACACGTCATTGGTGAATTTTTATTTTATACCTAGCTCAAAATATGCGTTAATTCCTTTTGGCGTAGATGGGTTACCGGTGTCTTTCTTGTATATATTTTTTTCTGTCGCTTTAATTTGTTACTTTTAATTTCAAGAAGAAGACGTCCCATACCCACACACGTGACCTATGACGTAATCTTTATCTGCAAAGTGGGATATAAAAGCTGAACTAAGTTTCTCTGCGTAAGTTAGAATGTTAATTGACAATTAAATACAAGTTAATTAAGCTAATTAAATACAGAGACGCGTCACACAACGAATTAATTGAAATATAATTCTTTCTCGCCTATTTCTTTTACTTAACTTAGATTTATTATTTGTTTATGCATTTTATTGTAATCATGACATATTTCCATTTTATGCAGCTGACAATTTTGATGCATAATTAGTTTGTTTATGTTCCACATTGCTTCGTGCCTGTCTATGCGTTAAGTCTATGCATAAAAATAGAGTGAAAGAATTGAAATCTTTGAAAAAGAATCTGTCTGGAAGAATTTAGAGTGTGTTACTTAAGAGAACTGATACTTAACGGGCTTGGCTTACTTGAAATACAATGGAAAAAACAGTTGGTAACGTAAACAGATGTCACGTTTCAACAAACAATCAGGATCGAGATACCCGACTTACGTCACTTGCAGGTATCCCATGACAAGAAAAAATATATTTTGGTATTTTTTAGTTACTAAAAAACATCTGTTAGATTATTTAAATTATATTTGTTTTAAAATTTCAATTCCAAAAAATGTAGTTTGAAATTTTTTTTTCAGTCATATACAAAAATGCATCAATAATTGATTTTGAAAATTAATGAACTTTCAGTGATGAATAACTGTTTCTCTAAGATCAAATATTTTGAAAAATTTGAAAAATTATTGTTTGAAAGTGAGCCATGTTTCGAAGATTTTACCTTTAAAGCAGAAAAGCGGACAAAGCTATTTATCAAAAGAGCTTAGCATTTAATTCCGTTTCTTAAACTACTGTTAGGATTATTTCATTTTAGTTGTGAATAATGATTCGTATTTTGGTTCGTCGATTTGATACGTGCCTTTTTCAAAAGTAACGTAAGTATGAAAAATTTGGGTACATTTATAGGATTCATCCTTAAAAAACATTATTTTAAAACGCATTTCTTGCTTTGTCCAAGCCCGCTTCTTTTCAGAGAAAATACGTTTTTGTGTCTTATTTCTTTACTTAAAATATTGTCTGCACTCATTAATTATCACATTTCAGGTCATCCGCTCGAACCATTAAGACTGAGTCCTAGAACGTGAAGATCCGATTATTAGATCAAAAATTATTCAGGGTGGTCCGTTTTGTTTTGCTCACTGTAGACTTTTTGGACTCAAATTTTGAGATGTGTTAAAAATAAACTATTCACTGATGAAGTGCTCTAATTAAATTTAATTTAGTTTGATTTTTAATAACAGATCTTTTCAATTTCAATTTATAGATTACGATGGTTTGCACGATCTTATGTGTAATCATGGCAGAGCTATTGATTTGTTTACGTCAAGTATAAATAATCCAGACTGTGAAATGTATGGTTTAGTTTGTGAAAACATGGAGAGTTATGTTGAAGGATTGTGTAATACAAGGACAGCTAAGCCTTTTCTCATGGGTATTCATGCAGATATTTATTCAAAATATATTGACAATTCTCGCTCATTAAATGTATATTTAAATACTACAGATGAAGTACCATTTTGTAAAAAATAAAATATATATATTGTGATACATAAATTTCAATTAATTGTTATTGTTGTAACCCGTTTAAGTATGACAATTTTTATACTGATTTATATGAGTAGCGCTTGTAAATGTGATGTGCGCTGAAAAATGTAAAAGTGATGACTAATAAAAAGCTGAAATCAAATTTATAAAAAGATTTAAAAAATAATGAAATTATCATAATTATTTTTTTTCTAGTTTATTGTCCGAAAATAATGCTACAAATATTTTTCTTTTCATCATATTTCGCAAACCAACTGACCAAGGTTAGTAAATAGTTATGGCTAGAAATGAGAAGTTAAGTTGAGAAGTTAAAAAATAATGAGAAAAATTATAACTAATTTAACTCATTATTTATCAATTTTTCACGTAACACAATTAACTCATTTCACAAAATAGTTTCTTAACTTTTTTTCTAGCCGCACGTTCCATCACGATACAATCGATATATTCCATACAATCGATACATTCGTTACAATCAGTGAATAATTTAGCAGAGGCTATTTAGCTAAGTATAATATTGCTGAGAATTATGCGAATAATGTTACCCTAAAAATGTTCAATAAAAATTTTATCAAGTGTGTTTTAATTTAAATTATTTTAAATATTTTATTTAATATTTTTCATTATTAAACTTGAAAAGATGGCTTTAAACAAATGTAAAAGTAGGCATTTAAAAATAACATTTATTTGTCGTAATGAAAGTATGGTAAGACAGTTAAGTATTAATTTTTATTAAGAAGAGCATAAATTTTAATTAAAAAAAATAAAATGAATATTAATTTATGCTTTTTTCCAATTCCATTGATAATTTAGTAATAAATAAGAAAAGCTAATAGTTAATGTTAAAAACATATTTATTAATTTATGTTGCAAATGATAAATATATATTTCTTAAAAGATTTTTATTTTATTTTCTATTCTGAGTTTTTCATATAAATAAGAATAACTAGTTTCGAACTTATTATTGATTTTAATTAACTTATTATTAATTTTAATTAAAGCCAAGAGAAAAGTTTGTGTCTTCTTTTATTTCTAATTGTATAATTGTATAATTTTATGAAAGTAAAAGAATTAAAAAATACATATTGAACTTTATTTAAAATTTGCAGAACGAAGTTTTATTGATGCATCTTAAGATAGACAGTAAAATAATTTTTTCATTCAGTTTTTTAGATTAAATGTTTACATTGCTTTTATAGCTGCTACTAGTCCTTTAAACGTTTCGATGCACATTGGTAATATTTGTTCTTTTGGAAGAAAATGACCATGGAGGCCTGTATCTCTGAGTTCTAGGGCGTATGCATATTTGATACCTTGTTTTATGTATGCATAATCAATAGAAGAACCAGATGCTGGATCTGTAAAAAAACATTTTTAATTTTATTTAGTTTTTTTTTTATCAAAACAAAAATAATTCAGAACGAGAATAATTAATGATTCTGAATTTCGTACAATATTGATATACAGAGACATGGTGGCTCAGGGGAAAGAGCGCTCTCCTTTCAATGAGCTGACCCGGGTTCGAATCCTAGCGATGACTGGTCGATACGAATTCCTCACCCGACTTTCACCAACCACAGTGCCGACGTAAAATATCCTTAGTGGTTGACGGATCATAGGATAGAACTCCCTTGCCACCAGGCTAACCGTGAGACGTTTTTGTGATTTTCCTCTCCATGTAAGGCAAATGTGGGTAATTTCTTACAAAAAAGTCCTCCATGAAGACAAATTTCTCCCAATATTTAATCTAGGAGTTCCCTTGTCTTCTGGATTGGGTTCAAAATTGCAAGGTTACGGAGTTGAACACTAGTAGTTGTAAACTCAAAAATTGGCTCGGATGTTCAATGACTGTTATAAAATAATGACATACAATAAAAATATTTTCAAATATTAATACCGTATGAATCGAATAAGATGACAATGGAGTTAGAAATCAATAGAACATTAAATATTCCAGTTTACGGTTTATCCATTTAGCAACTTGGAAGAGCAAGCAAAAGAATGTTTAATATAAGTTACTTGTTGCAACATGTTGTCATTCTGTTTTTGAATTTATGGACGAAGATTGATTAACCATAAACCCTGTCGGTAATATAGAACCAGTTAATTACTTCAGTAGAAATAAAATTGTATTAAAAAAAACGTTTGCTTTAATCTGTAGCTTAAGAGCGTTAGCGTGCAGAGATATTTTATTTTACAACCGGCATGTAACAACCGACCCGATTCTGAGTTTATGACTGTCAATGTTCATCTTAGTAGTCTGTAATTTTGAACCCAATTCAGAAGACAAGAGAACTCCTGGATGAAGCATTAGGACAAGCTAACCTTCGTGAAGGCTTTTTTGATGGAACTAAACTGAATTTGCGTTACATGGAGAGGAAAACATGGAAAACTTCCCACTAATATCCCGAAAGCAAAGGGATTTTATCTATTGATCCATCTACCACTAAAGATATTTTATGTTAGCATTGTGGTCGGTGCGAGTCGAGAACAGAATTCGTATCGACGAGCCATTGCTGGGATTCAGACCTGGGTCACCTCATTGGAAGGTGAGAACTCGCTCTACTGAAACACAGCGGCTCAATGCTGAGCTAGATTTTATTTTGTAACCGTCGTTGAACAGACGAACCAAATTTGAAATTAGAGATACCAATGTTTAACACCGTAGCCATGTAATTTTGAACCCAATCCAGAAGACAAGGGAACTCCTGGATCAGTAACTCCAGAGGTATTGATTTGTAATTGGAATTTGGAGGGCTTTGTGACCCTGACAGATTAAACAGCACTAATCACCATTTAATGCACGAGGATTTTTTGGTCACTTGGATTTGAACTAACATTTTCCCGAACACGAGTTCAACGCCCTACCAACCAGACTATCCTGCCTCGATGCAGAACTATAGTTAGAATCCGTACATGTAATTAACAGCCAACTATGTGCACACGTCTGTTTTATTGTCAATTCCCTTAAACTCTACTTAGAGGACGCTATACCGCAGGAAAAACTCTTTATAGCAAATTCTCTTTCATCTACATAACTGAAAATTTAAAATACAGAAAAAGTGAGTTCCGCTAGCGTAAAACAGGAAGTTTTAAATACTGAAAAAAAAATTAAAATATCGAAGTGCAAAAAAATTATGACAGGATTACGTACCGGGCAAGTAATCCTGCAATAACATGTTTGCATTTTTTTAATTTGAAAACATTTTTTTAGCATTTGAAATGACATGATTTATTTTAGGTTTCTCAAAACTTTAAATTTTAAATTAATCAAAAAAATCATTTGCCATGTAAAGCCTCTTCAGCCGTAAATTATCCTTTTTTTTTTAATTCCCGTTTTGAAGATAAGTTAAAAATATTTGTACTTACAGATAGTGCGAAAAATTGTCCCAAACATGTAATCAGTGTTATATTCTTTATGCAGCGCATCCATTCCTATGTTTGCTACACGTTCCTATAAAGACAAAAATCTTAAATTAACCTTAAATTGACCTTTTCTAAGCAATGTGAGGTCAATTATGAACCCCGTTTCAATTTTCTGTTCTGAATACCTCAGTTTTTAGTTTTTTTTTCAATGGTTGTTCATCCAAATATGTGTTTTTATCGCATTTTATGTATTTTCAAATATGTGTTTTTACCATTAACCGTATATTTTATTATTTTCAAAGATGTCATTACATTTAAATTAATGGATTTGGTGCTCCAAAATATTGTTCATAATGTCTACTTCCCTATTAGTCTGAAAACTTATTATTATTATATTGTTATCTGACGAATCTATTCTATTATTTATTACCGGCATTTATATTTCTCGAAATGATAAAAAAAAAATAATAATGATAATAATGATAATAATTACAATGATAATAACTTTAATGATAATAATTATGATGATAATAATTATAATGATAAAAATTATAATAATTATAATGATAATAATTATAATGATAATAATTATAATAATTATAATGATAATAATGATAACAATTATAATAAAAACAGTTATTCAGAAGGTCAACTTTTGAAACATTTTATGAGTAAATAAAAACAGAAAATTAATCTGGGATAGCAGAATAGACCTAATTCGGCTGTGCGAAAGGTAACTTAGACTATCTTTATATTTTTAATTTTCATATTTTTTGTTTCTATTTTCTTATTTCTAGCAGAAGCACTTGATACGTACATCAATCGCTGGAGTGCAAAAAAAAAAACACTCCGTACGGACCCATAAGGAATAACAACAAATAAAGAAAAATTAAAAACATTAAACATTCGAAATACAGAAACAATTACAACAGAGAAACATTAAATAGAATATCAACAATAGGAATATGTACAGAAAACCAGTCAGTTAGCAATATTAATTTATATTTATGTTTCATGAAAAATTAAATCTCAAGAAATTGTTTTGGCTCAAACAATTTATGCCACATTTTATCATCATATAGCTGTAAAATATGAATGCCCGCTATAATTTAATAAATTTATTAGTAGTTAATAAATTTATAAGTGAAACATAACTTACAAGGCTAATAAATGCCATTTGCTTGATTTTATGAGAAATAACAGTCTCTGACCAAATTATTAGACGCACTGTAGTTTTTTAATAATTACATGTTTTGCGCGAGTATATATGCAATACTTTTATATTTATACATACATGCAATGGGTTTTCATTCAGGAGATTCCTTATCTACTTTTTATGTATATTTATTTTTAATGCATTTCAATGTTAACCAGTTGATACGAACGTAAACAAGTGCAAACCGGTTTCAGTCGCGTTGTCACACGCGTCAGTTGCGGACTTGTTTCTGTGACTTTATGCGCTGTGTCTATATGTTTCGCAGTTTTATACTACGCAGTTATTTGTTTATTTTCCTTGCAGTGTTTAAATAATAATTTGGAACTTTTTAAAAGGCGATCTTTCACCGTGTAAAAAAGCTGAAGTAAAGGCTGTCGTGAATGCTATAATATTTTTAAACCGCGAAGTATCACGAAAATCGAAGGTTTCTGAAGTTAGCGTACGACACATAAAGAAGAAAATTGAGCCAGGAGATGAATTGAGCCCGAAACGAAAGAAAAGATGGGACAGAATCTTATAGTGCGTTTAATAATTTGGGACGGGACTATATGCTGAATGTATTTTCCCTTTTCACTTGAAATTATGAAATTTTTTTTAAATAATATACTAATGAAACATACCAATTCACTATAGTTGGGGGGCAAATCTTCAGTTATTCCATAAGGTGTCATCCAGAACTGAGAAAATGAGTGGATAGCAAAATATGCAAGAGTACGACCTTCTCTTGATTTCATAAGATCCCTGAGAGCTCGACTTTCCCCTTCTGAAAAAGCTTCATCACCGCAATAACTGTTCTGGCATGGGTCATTGCTAGAACCGACACCTTAGCAAAAATTAAAAAATAAATGAAATGAAACAATTTGTTTTTGCAAAAAAGACCATGATTAATAACGGTGATAAAGTTTCTGAAATATTAAAATCCCTTGAGATTTAAAGATAATTGTGTAAAAGTCAGAAGTATAGACTACGGGTTTTATATGTTAAAATTGCTTAGTACATAGATAACCCACAATATTAATTTCCACTATGCACGGGATATTCTTATACCCTCACCATAACTTCTAAATGGATACAGTTAATATCATAAAAGATAATCATTTGTCTTAATTGCTTAAAGAACATTTTTAGAAATGTATAAAATAATTTATGAGAATTTTTAAAAATGAGAACTGTTTGAAATTTTGTAAAAATCACTTATTGAGTTTAGATTTCCTAGACATAAATCATTATAACTTTTTAGCACTTTTACCCCCCCCTTTTCTTTGTGATATAGGTTTATTACATTTCAATGCAAAGTGTATTTGTTGTAAACAATTTTTTTGGCGATTGTTTAGCATTTCCAAAAGTTTTGCGTACTTTTGATGTCACTTGCACTTATAATCATCTTTTTTTTATTTTTGACTTAATTACAGATGCTTCTAGTTCGACCATACACTCTTAAAAAAAGCTTTGTTGAATAAAAGCTATGTAACTATCATCTGGTTTTGCATCTTTTTAGTTCTCTATTTGTGTAAAAAAGAAATTTTTTAAGAATTTCAATTTATTCTTCTGTATGAACGAAAAACCTCTCAAAATTTGTTGATTTTTTCTCTCTCTTAAAGTGGTCCAATTTTTTTAAGCAATATCTGTACAGTTACCCCAGTGCTCATTGCCAAAGTTGCGATTCATAACGCCACGGTAAAGATCACGTTTTGTTTTGCATCATTTTAAAATTATTAGTATTTAGAGTTTGCTAGCTGTATAACAAAGAAATATTTTCAAAATTTCAATTTATTCCACTAGAATACAGACAAAAATCTCCGAAATTTCCTAATTTTGTTTCCTTTCCTAAGTTGACCTAACTCCTTAGAGCAGTATTTTCACACTTACCGCAATGCTCGATGTCGAAGTTTCGATTCACATCAGCTCCTCTGCAATATCCTGTAAAGTCATTAACGCTACGAGACCGAGATTTTCGCCACATTCTATCCTGTGAATCATAAGACATAAAAACATGACAATTATTTCGATAATACATTTTCTGCTAATAAGTATTGGGGCACCTATGCATATCGCTGATGTGCCACCCTCCAGATTATAATTCCACCTTAGATTCCAGATTATAATTCTACCTTCGAGTAGATAACATATTGTTTGGCTGTGTGGTCTCTATGTTGCGATAATTTTAAGGGTTATGCCTTCTTTCCTATCAACCAATAAGTGTTAGGAAACCAGAGATAAAGAAGAGCTCTAGTAACTATTAACATAATTCATGTTTTGGCTGGCAAGTTCATCTGGCCATCCTTTTGCCACTAAACTTATTCATGGCGGACTTCGCAACATTATAGCTAGTGTTATCTACTCGAAGGTGGAATTATAATCTGGAATCTAAGGTGGAATTATAATCTGGAATCTAAGGTGGAATTATAATCTGGAATCGAAGATGGAATTATAATCTGGAAGGTGGCATGTCAGCGAAGGTGGAATTATAATCTGGGCTAACTCTCTTTTGGTATAGATTTGGACATTTGGTTCAAATTCATGACAACCTATTATGCATTATTTTGTACTGCAGTGTGGTCTCCATGTTGTGATAGTTTTAAGGGTTATACCTTCTTTCCAATCAACCAATAAGTGTTAGGAAACCAGAGATAGAGAAGAGATCAACCAACACTTCACATAAAAATGAAAAATTTCATTTTCAACAAATGACTGATCTACCATGAATTACGACCTTAACTCTTCAGGGAATGCGCATCACAAGTCCTTGTATTACAACAAGTGATATTTTCATTCACTTGGCTTAGAGAACACGCATAAGTTCCTTCATAAATTTTGAAAATTTGTTGCTCTTTTTAAATTGTTGATCTAACTCGTCCTCTGAGGTTCTTTATAGGGTTCATGCCTGGCAAGTTTGCTTGTTTCAGATAGGCAGAACTCTGACGCACCCCAGGGGGGTATACGGAGATAAAAAGTTAAATTATTACGTTAAAAAATTAAGCTAAAAACTAAAAATTCAGTAAAATTTTGCCAAATGACAGTGGTGGTGATCAGTTAAAAGTGAATTAACTAAAAATTTTGACAATTAAAAACATGTTTTAAAAGCAATGAAAGCTAAAAGCGCCGGTGTAAATGTCGAGAATTAAATGATTATAATAATAAGGAAACAAGAGATGAGAATAAAATCTCAAAGCTAAAATTAATGAAAGTTAAAAGTGCTAAGTCTAAATGTCTAAAAGTGAAAGTCTGAATAGAAGTCTATGAAGTCTAAAATCACTAGTAGATAAAATTTTAAAATGCAAGGCTAAAAGTTGATCAGTGTAAAATAACGATGGCATGTTCTATTGTTGGTTCATGACTGGGGTCAGTTGATCTGGGGCTAAAATGTCTTCGAGTGTTTGTTTTATAATTTGAATCACAATTCTCCTGCAGGCCAATATAGCAAAAAATTGGTGTTCCTCTTCGTAGTTATTCATATGGGTTCCACGAAGTGCCCAGAATCTTGGACAGTGCTTAATTAGATGTTTAATGTCCCGTCTCACTCCACAGTAATAATTTCATTTGGTTAACCCCTTTGCCACCAAACTTATTCATGGCGATTTCACAACATTATAGCTAGTGTTATTTACTCGGAAGTGACATAGGTTTAACTCGTAAATCTGCCACTTAGTAATAATTATATTTTCACCAAAAACTAAATGTCTACTTTGAGCTTAACATAAATTTGGGTTTTCTTCTAGAAAGTGACGTAGATTCTACTTGCAAATCTGCAGCTACGATGCAGTTACATTTTCTTGCAAAATAGTGCACTAAGTGCACTATAACTACTATAACACTCAAACATACTATAAATATGTTTTTTTGCCAATGTGCATGGTAGTCACAATACTTTAATGGTTGTGCATAAAATTTAATAAAATTGCACTTTATTCGTTGCAAGATAATGAAATATTAATATCAAATACCTTTGTGAAAAAATCTGATCCAGTGCTCCTGAAATTCGAAATAAAATTATAGTTTCTTTTCTCTCCTATTCCTTAAAGCTCATAGTAAATTCGATTTTATTTGAAAATAAATCTTAATCATTTCTTTTTCCTAAATTTCGATTTTTTTTAAAAACATTGCTTTTTCTATCAATTCAAACACCGAATATAATTACTGAATTTAATATCTGCAAATAAGAAATTATTTTGAAAATATTAAGAAATTATTTGAATATTAAGGAATTATGCTGAATATTATTAGGAAACTATTTTGAAAAATACAGCTACCGCTCACTCAAAGAAATATTAACAAAAACAGGAGCTTGTAGGGAAATAATATTTACCTAAAACACCGTTTTTTTAATAAAATTTCTGAAACAAAGTTCTTTTTTAAATATGATTCGATATTAATATATACTATAAATATAGATCTATATTATTGATCATGGACAATAATTTTTCTCTCCAAACACTAACCAAACACATTTTTTTCCAATTTAAAGAGTATAATATAGATAGAGATATTAATAGAAATAGTAATAAAGAAATAGTGAATAGAGAATAGAGATATAGATAGTATTATAAAATAGAGAATAGAGATATAGATAGTATTATAAAATAGAGAATAGAGATAATAGAAATATATTTGTATTCAATAATCTTGTGCGTAAAATATTTAAATTGAATAGAAATAGTCATCAATGGTTTAGAATTTCTTCATTAAAAATAAGTTGACTTTTAAAATAAAATTTCGATTTTTATATGAAAATACTTTTGCTAATATCTATAAATAATACTGCAGTACAATTTGAAAAACAACGTGAGTGCATCATGGTAGATTTCCAAAAAAGTGTCTTGACAACTATTTTCTTTCTATTGAAAACGCTAAAAATGGAATTTCAAAAAACTGATAAAATAAAGTTTAATTAAAAAAAATCTTTTGTAATCATGAAGAAATGCCAAATATATAAAAATCTCAATTTTGAATATTTTGTCGCTTACGCTGATGTTTCTATTGCATGGCAGAATGAGCGCTATAAAATTATTTGAACATTAAATTAGATTTTAACTCCTTGACTTATCATTAAACATTAAAATTCTAAACTGTGCAGGATTATTAGTTTCTTGATATAGAAATGATCTTTGATTGCACTGTAAGCAACAACTCGCAACGAAGAAGACGTCTGAGATACGTCAATTATTGTTTTGGCATAAGAAACAATAAACGTCTCCCAGACATCTTCGTATGTCAAGGGGTTAATGGAACAATAAAACTTTATTTTTGATATTAAATGTATTTGATATGATTACTAACGTTACAATATAATTAAAAAGGAGCTGATTTAATGGATATTTAATGAGTAATTCAGAATGTAAAGTTTGTAAGCAACTTTTACTATGATAATACTTGTCTTTATGAAAGAAAAAAAAAATTTCCATTGCAGAACGTTCAGTGTCCATAAATTTCTGAGTTATTTGAACCATTGAGTTGGCATTAGTCACGAAAAAGAAAATATAGTTAAGCTTTTGGATCAAGGTTTTTATTTTTATTCTTTAATGATCTGTGAATTTGTGCTTTGATTAAAACATGATAGTTATCTTACTTTCGTCCAAGTATATACATATCCATCCGGGTTTGCAACCAAAATAATGTTGAATTCATATTTATCCAATAAGCTTGTTATTTCAGATTGTCTGCCATAGTTTTCTATTAGCTGGAACATTTGAAAATTATTATAGTCAATTAAAATAAAATTATTAATAAACTTTGAAACATAATCTATATTTTATATAACATATCTATCACAATCTTTTTTATTATTTGACATCTCTAAGTCAGATATTGTTTTAGTTTAAAACTTTACTATTTTGTCATCAGTCCTATTATTAATATTGAAACTATAACCCCTGCTTTTAGACATTTTAGAGAGCGTAAAACCATGGAGTCATTAAAATTTGCTGCAATTTCATTGGGGTCCCAAATTGAACCATATTATGGTATTTAACTTGGTTATGTAATCTGGGAATTAATTTGAATAAATCTTAGCTTGGTTAAATTTGATTTTAACTTTTTGATGCAGATGGGATACTGTCCCATTTGCATCAATGAATGTTTGTCACATTGAATGCCGGTACCTTTCACAGTAATTTGATTTGAAATTTTTTACAGAGTATGATTTAAGCTATAATTTAAATCAACTTCAATTGCGGAATAATACCCTATAATAGAGGAATATGGAAATATAATAGTCATAATACCTTATAATAGGGAACTAACGGTAAAATATTATGTCATGAAAGAAAGAAAAACTACTTCAGAGAATTGGTGCCACGTTCTACAGTTGCACTAGAAACGAAACCCTTAGCCTCCTTTCAAAAAGAATTTGATACTGAGTTATGGGTATTCGCATGCATTCTTGTAGTAAGAATGCGAACAGGTCAATGAAAAAATTTTGGGACGTAGTTCCCTGGCTCCTAATAAGCGTTTTTATAACTTGTCCCAGAAATATTCTATGGTGCTTATGTAGGGATTCTGAGCAGGCTAGGAAGACGCAAATTTATATCTTGATATTATTGCTTAACAGAGGTTATAACAAAGCATGGAAAGTTGTTGATTTGGAAATAATTTTGGCTGATGTCATGAAATTGCTAGAGAATAGTTAGAAACAATGGTTCCACAATGGTTCTAAATATCAGATAAAACGTTGTCGGTATCAATTACCAGATAAAACCAGGTAGATTTTAATTTAACAAGAAAAACATTAAAGGCCTCTGGTCATATAAAGCAACAAACACCCTGAAGTGGATAGTACGGTTCGATGCAAATTCTCAGTTGTTCCCCATTGCAAGGTTGTGTGTGTAAAAATTGTGGTTAATATAGTCAACAAATTTTAGATAAAATTTAGTTTGTTATTAAAAGTGTTGTCTTAAAAGTCATTAAACAAGGTTTATTGCAGTGTCATTTTTACCTTATTTGTCTTAACATTTTCAAAATGCTAAGAATACATTGCAAATTATATATTGCTTGTATCAGCCCTTATCAGCATTATCATCAAGTCAGAAAAATAATGGCATCACTATAAAAACATTACCGTTACAAAAACAGCTACATAAACTAAAAACATTGCCCTGAAAAAAAGTTTTTTTTAACTAACTGAAAGACAGGAAAACTGATATTATAATCATAAAAACTATGATCGAAATGTTTTGCAATTTTTTAATCACCAAAAAAAAAAAAAAAAAGAGTGAATTCAATAAAATGTATTCCACAAAAACTGCTGTAAGAATGTTTTTGATTTGCACATCAGAATATATGTTTAATTAGATAATTTATATTGGTAACGCAATAGCATATTACTATCTTCAATTACATTATTCATCATTTATTATTTACGTTAATTATTATTAAGCAAGCGACTCCATGTTATCGTTTGTCTGTAATAGCACCACCAACGAAGACAAGAACATCATTGCCTGAAAGATCGCGACTAACGGACATATAAATGTGGCGATGTTTTGGAAAAATGATATTTTTCTCATTTCGGCTTGTTTTTAGTTACAATGACGTTTTTGTTTGTATTTTAAAACGGTGATGTTACAAAGTAAAACAGCTCTTCACCAGACAGAAGAATCAGAATTTATGAAGATGGATATATGTATATCAAATAACTTACCTGGTCTGCTAGATAAGCACAAACTGCTACAGGAGACCATTCATTTGCATGGATACCACATTCAATTATGATAGCACTTTTGTTGGAGGAATCACCTGAACTAATCTATAATTATTTTGAGTAAAAGTTAAATAAAATATTAGTTAAGATCTATAACCGTGTCTTTATTTTTTTTAAAAAACGTATAAAAATTTAGTTTATTTATGTACATATGTGTCTAAAAAACAAAAAAAATTAAAAAATTAAAAGAACAAATTTTATTAGCTTCGTAACTTATTTTGAAGTGAAATAAAAAGATAGCAGCAATCTATATCCTTTCGTTTTTATTTTAAAAGATTTATTAAATCTTCGGTAGATTTTGATTCATTCTAGTATTTGATTAATTATAAAATTCACTTATTAATGGATATTCAGTCACTTATGTACAGTAGAAAAATTATTGTGTTGAAATTTGTTTAAACTGCTTTTTTTAGAACTTACTATTTAAACAAAATTACGTAAAATTGACACCCGATTTTTTGTTCAAAAATGAAGCAAAAAATAAGAAAAATTAATTTTATTTAAAACTTTTTAAAGTTTCTTTTTTCTTTCAAAATGAAATAATATAATAAGGAAAATAATTATTCTTTCAAATAGACTAATAATAGTGATTTTCTTAAAACCATTTGACAATGTCATGTATGTTACTTTTTTAAAAATTTTAATTACACCAAAAATAAATTCTTTTAGCAATAACTTTATTATTCTCCCATGTTATTCAGTTATATGCCCTCAATCACTGATTTTTTTATTCGTTAATAACAAATAAAAGTATCTACGGAAGCGAAAAAAAAGGTTTGACCTAAGCATTAGCCTAAACTTTTAAATCTTCATTTGTTTACACACGAATAAATAACGTCCTATGCCTTTCTTTAAGTAATCAACTGTATTGCTCAACTTGGGACATTTACTTACTTTTAAAGAATGAATAGGGCGATTCTCGTATGTTTTCCCAATTCTTTCAATTTTTACCAGTTTTGGATATTTGGTTGACAACTCAGCCATTAAAAATTTGATCTGAAACCAATGAAAGACATATATAAAATAAACTACAGAAAATATGTAAGTTAGATTTATAGGAGCTATTCTTGATAAGTTTAGTTATGCGCTTACTTTCGTATCATATCATTATTACTTTTTTGAATAACTCATAGTTTAAAAGCAATACATCATGGGTCATGACAGTAGATAGAATAAATTAAAATAAATTTTAACTGTACCAAATTGAAGCTGAAGATTGCATTTTCTATCGCGATTGGTTAAACTTATGAATAAAATTTTACTTCAAAATATTCTCTTATCTTTTTCTGAAAGTATTCATTGTCGCTTTCAATAATAAGTGTTTATTAACAAACTATTACCGTTTGTAAAGAGTTTGATAAATTTCATAGATTTGAATTCAAAAGTTCAGCCGCACTTTCCTAAATGATGCTAAAAAAGCAAAACTCAGACGATATTTTTAAGATACAATAATTACTATTTTTTTATTAAAATCTAGTACATGAAATATTCATAAAAATCACATTTCGAAATATTTCAAATTAAAAATATTCCACACCATAAAATAAATGATGACCCTGATTTTAAAAAATCATTTTAACAATAATCTTAAGTACTTAAGATGAAGTGAAGTGAAACTGAATGAAGTAAAAATTAAGAGAAAACGATTTTCTAAAAGACTTTTTGTTTCACATAGGAAGTTATTAAGCTTTAAAATTTATCTAAACTTAGAAAACCTACCATTATCAACCAAATAAGATGCCCGAAAAGTATTTCATTCATTTCATTCTTTGACTAAAATTTATATTTAAAAACTGATTCTGTTCATTCATTCAAAGACTAGTTCTATGAACTTTTTGAAGTGAAAATTCTGCTTGTCTTTGGAATACAATTTTCAAAGCTTTTTCGGATTTCACAGTTTTCACAGTTTTCGGATTTCACAGATTTCGCAGTTTCCAGAATCCACGTAAGTTTTTATTGCTTTATTCAAAATTGATAAAAATATTTTGTGCATATTACTTAATTTCTATTAAAAAAGTAAGCCGATATAGTACTAAGGAGTCTTTTTTTTTTCAAAGAAATATTTTGTTTCCCGTTGAATTTATATTATGAAGTCTACATTTGTTCTATTCAAGCTATTAGCTTTTAGTTTATTATCTTTAAATTATTGTATCTCAACCACTTACTAAGTTGTAGGTATAGAATTATCAAAGCGAATTTTTAGATAGTGCTTTTCTTCTTAGATATTTTTGACTTTACAGTTTAAACACTTATTACACTTTATGTATAAAAAAGAATGTCTCTATGTCATTTTGTCAAGTTTCTTAAACTATTTATCTTCTTTTATTCGGCACACTGATAGTTTGGAGCACGAGGTAAGTCAATGTTATCATAAGAACACTCTAAACGTTTGAAAGAGGGAGTATGAATTAGCATTACGCATTGTTGCAAAAGAATTGTTGACTAGTTTTATGGATATGTCAGTAACTTAAAGTTCACTAACTCACGTCGATGCCAATTGTTTTTGTTAGCTGAGATTTCAACTTTCATTGTTGCAAATCATGACTGTTAGAAATTGGTATCCTGAAAATTATGTTTAAGCATATGTTTTTTTAATGATAATTTCCCCTTTTAAACATGTTCGATAAATCCTAAAATGTAAAGTCACTAGAAAACGAGAAATAATGAAACAAAAAAGGAAATTATATTAAAAGTTCCAATTCAGTTCGATAATTTAAAAGAGGGCTCAAAATAGATATTTGTTAATGAAGAAGAAAAATTAGAATTTTTAGACTAATGGTCAAGCGTTTGAACCAAAAACTAAATTTTTTAAGGGCAACTTACATTTTAAATAATTTTTTTAATAAATTTAAAAGTCTAAAGTCAACGGAAAGTACTCAAGGACAATTATACACAATAAATAAAAATAACTAAGAGGAAGGGCAACAGCTAATAAAAACCAGGATATTTGGAGCAGTAAATACAAGGTTAATTTGCATACATCATCATGATTTCAGAATTCAAAAGATTTAAACATTAAATGGATTACCTCTTCATATTGGTTATATATTCCAAAATCAAAGGCTTCAGACTGGCTAATTGTTAAAGGAGTGTTTGTCATTCTCTCATAATCAATAAGACTAAAATAAATGAAAATTGACTCTTTAATTAGCTATTAATACAAACATTTAATAAACTCAATTGATCTTACACCAAACTTTTTAAAGAAGTGGGATACCGGCAAGTGACGTAGTGAGGTTATCGCGATCGTAATTGGCTGTTGAAACGTGGCATTTGCTTACATTAGCAACTGTTCTTACCATTCTATTTTGAGTAAGTCAAGCCCGTCAAGTATTAATTCTCTTAAGTGACACATTCTATATTCTTTCACAAAGATTTCAATTCTTTTAATCTATATTTCTTAGTTGAAACAAAGACAGCCAAGAAGACATGTAGAACATACGCAAACTAATTATGCAACGAAGTTGCCTGGTACACAAGACAAAAATATATCACGGTTACAATAAGATACATAAACAAATAATAAATCAAATCTAAGTAAAAGATGCAGACTAGAAATAATTAGATTTTAACACATTCGATTTGCGATACGGGGTTGTATTTAGTTAACTCCAAGTTAATGAACTTTCTAACTTATATAGAGAAACTTAGTTCAACTTTAACACGTTATTTTTCTTATAAACGATCAGCTGGCGCTGACATAATAGCTCACATGTGTGGGTATCAGTGATCTTCCTCTTTTTGAAGTACCCAATTATGAATAAACCAAAATACAGGTTTTGGAAGATTGTTTCAGATACTATAAACAAAATAACTTCGTTTGAAGACTTCTAAAAATAAAACATTGTTATATACTCACAAATGGCTATAACATGCAATATTAGAAAATTAAAATTTTTGAAATTATATTTTAAAATTATATTTAACACGTTTTTCTAATTAACTTCTTAAGCTATGACATATAGTAGTAATATTTGTGAAAAATTACTTTACCTTTGTAAATCTTCATGAACTACGCTGTATTTAATTTCATGTTCTTTAAAAGCGTTTTTCAGAGGTGAGAGGAGTTCTGGTTGGATATGCGTTAAAATAGGAATACCAATATTATGCGGTTCTTTCCACAGATTAACCTTTTAAGAAATAAACAATAAAGCAAATTACATATATAAATCAAAATTTAGAGATAACATGGAAAAATTACAGAACAATGAAAAAAGGGAAAAAGAAAAATAATAATAACAATAATTAAAATCCAGAAAAAATTCTGAATAAAAGAAAATATAACAAAAATCTGGAAAGTAAAAAATATAATCTTTTCATCAGCTCAAGCGATTATATCCGCAAAAAAGAGTGCCTTCTAATATTGTATATCAATACAATAGTGTGAGGAGCACTAAAGAAATTTACAAAAAATTTACAACAAATAAAATAGAACACACTAAGTAAAAATATCGCGTTAAAACAGAACATTTTTTCTGTATATATATCCACACACACATGTGTCTGTGTGTGTAAATATATAACACACTTTTAATGCTATATAGTCATCAAATATTCTCGCCGAAGTTTAGTTGACCTTTTAACTACTGACATAAAATGTTTGAAAACAGCAAGTATTAAGCTGAACTTGTTGGATTTAAGAATATAACAATTATCAATTCTAAATAACAATTTTTTTAATATGCATTGATGCTTTGATTATGATTTTTTTAAATATGCATTGATTTCGCATTTAATTATTTTTTTAATCACACAAATATTTTAAAAATTAATTCAGTAGAAAAATATTGCGAAAAAGCATATTACTAATATGGAAATGAATTTATATGTTTAAGCAATTATTTATAAATCATTTTCATTTCATATATTGGTTAAATTTTAATATTAGTTCATAATTTAATATTGGTTTATATTTTAATATTGGTATACTTTAGTATTCTGAAATAATTAAAACTTCATCAGAGGAAATTAACAGAGAAAATATATTTTTCTTGAAAGTATGCTCATAGTTCCTCTTTAGTACTTAAATGTGTAACGAAATTCAAGCACTAAATATCCAATGCAATGAAGGTAGAGATTTAGAGAAGGTATTAGATTTTAATACATGCAACGAAATTTAGAGTTACACACATTATGTACAGTTTGCAAAAAGATGGACCAATGAGAATAACTTTTGATCTAATGATAGGATATTCACGTTCTAGGACTCTTAATGGTTCAAAGGGGTGAGGACAAATATGTTAATTAATATGACGACCTATTATAGGGGCTAACCAGACGATATTTTAAGTTTTGAAATGAGACAAATAACTTAACTTTCTCTCTACAAGCATACCCTTTTTTGCTACGGATTTGGATTTCTGATCCCCAAAATATAGGGAATAGCTGCAATCTGGGAAATATGGTTCCAATAGTATGGCCATGAGGGAGATACAAAATTTGGACTCAATGTTAAATTCAAAATTTGGACTTAATGTTATCTCACTTTAAGATTGAGTCGTAGAATGTAAAGATCCGATCATTAGATCAAAAGTTACTCCTGGCGGTTCGCTTTTTTCCCCGCACTGTACGTTTTGCTTAGCTTATGAATACAAAACGAAGAGTATAATAAAAATTCGGTAATTTTCTTTGAAACTTATTTTATATTGTATTATGAAAAATAGAGAACAGTGCATGGCATATTAAGGTTACGTAAAAAACAACTATTGAAAAACTTTCAATTGAAAGCATTTTTAGAATGATTTAAATTTTGTATTTTAAAATATTGGTTGTTCAATTTTCTATGATAAATCAGGAGTCTCTTATCTGGGTATATAGTAGTTTATCATAATTTCAAAATATAAGAAATATAGTTTTGAAACTTACCGAATAATGTTTCCGTATTTTTTGAAGAAATTCTATGTGATCTTTTGATTCAGGAGTTATTTTAAAAACTTTATATCTATCAAAACAAAATATTAAATATTTAGATACGTCGTTGACTACGCCAGCAACAACAAGTTAACAATATGCATGCAAGATTGTAGCCCAAAATAAATTAAAATAAGTTTAATGCCTGTTTTCTCTTAGTCGCTGAAAGAAATGAAAATTGAATGTGTTCAAATGTTAATTAACGGAAGAATATGAATTCTAACAATTATCAAGGACAAAAAATACTTAGACAAATAATGATAAATAAATATTCAAAGAGAAAAAAAAACATTCAATAGAATTTTTTAACAGTCGCTATTATTTTAGCAAAAGGGTGGAAAATTGTTGATATATGTCAAGGACATTACAATTTTTTGTTTCATTTCAAATCTGGAACAGCAATGCCTCACCGTGATATATATTTTATGGCAATAAAATACACCTGGATATGATATGTTACTATGGAGAATGTTACGTAATTGCATTGATGGAGTAAATGTCAAACCGATTGTTCAATTCAATATTTAATTGAATATCTCTTTCCTATGCATTTATATATACATATATATATTAATATAAGNAGACGTTTCAGTTTAAGTATCGTTCTGTTATTATCCTCATCATCAATAGTACCACAGCCCACAATGGACGGAGCATTTCTTTCCCACCCTATTTTGAAAAATTTCCAAGCATTCCTCTAGGTATTATATATATTATATATATATATGTATTATATATATAAATGCACACATCATATACAATTGTAAACAAGCTACCTTGGGAATAGTTCAAATCTTTTATAATAAATTTTTCATAAGTTATAACAGGTATGAGCAGGAAAAATGAACGTGGGGTGATGTTAGTGAATTAGCATTTTTGAAGCTTTCTTAAGACAAGTATTTATTTATCTTGCTTATAGTTACGCATTTGAAACATGTTGCGATTAACTTAAATAATTTAAACTTATCGGTAACTGAAATAACAAACGTACAAATCGTGCATGATTCTGAAATTTTTTTAAATTTTTGAGAACCATAAGTTTTAATTGTATTTGTGTTTTACTGTTATTTGAAAGCCGGTATAGCTCAAAACTTTGAATTTTCCCCATTATTTTTGTGTTATACTATTTAATTAAGCTATTATTAATTTATACTATTTAATTACCTAAATTAAGCTTTTTATGCTCTTTTAGAAAGTAAATCAATTTTTTTTAATGCTGTTTTGACAAACAATTAAAAAAGATTATTTTTGTGTAATATTATTTTAGTAAATTGCTAAGGATTTAGATTTTAAAGAAGTTATCAAAAATTAATAATAAAAAAAGGGTAGAAGAGATGATAGTAACATATTTCTTAGCCTCAATAAACATAAAAATCAATTACTTCATTAAATATACGTAAAGTGTGCGCATGACAGCGCTTCATGACAGTAAATAGCATTTAGAATATTTTTTTTTATTAATTGGTATTTAAAAAAAAGCATGTTCGTTTTATCCACCCTAAATGTCATACTTTCTAAAGAATCAATCTTAAGTTATATTTTGTTAAATTGGGAAGCATAAAATCTAGGTAATGTAGAAACTGCAGGAATTAGTTTAAAACCTATTCTCCATCATTAAAAGTAGCTTCTAAAATATTTTTTAATTAAATATTGCACTTTTTTAAAATGCCACTTATACTATCTTTTACAAAGTATTTGAATCAGTAAATTTCATTTCCTGTTAAGTAATTTGCTATAATGTTTAATAAAAAAATTTAACATTAACCCTTATTTTTTAAGTTAATTTTGAAAATATTTATTTATTAAAATTGTTTATGAAAATTTCATTTAGCATTTATTTTCCCTTATATAATAATTTTATGTACTTAAATAATCTTGCAGTTATATAAATATATTTTATGTACAGATATGTATATATATACAACTATATAAAGAAAACTTTACTATTAAATTAAAAATAAGATTGTGTAATCTCATGACCGCTCAAAAGCTAACTTAGATTCTTAATGGCTTTTAAATAAATTTCCACAAACTGCCAATTTTTTGTTCTATAAAACAAAAAGCACCAAATACACACCAAATACTTGCTCTTAATAATTTCTATCGAAAATAAGTAACGTAGCATGTTGCATGCCAATTTAAAACTATATTGTTCCTTTTTACTTTTTTGCAGCTTGTTAAACACATTATAATCCTACCTTACTCAAATTGATAGAATACATTAATATAATTGGTACAATACAATACATTAACATATAATACATATAATACAATACAATAATACAATACAATAATACAATACAATAATACAATACAATACTACAATACAATAGTACAATACAATAGTACAATACAATAATACAATACAATAATACAATACAATAATACAATACAATAATACAATACAATAATAAACACAGAATACAAATTAGTCTTCAATTAAAAATGACACATGTATCATTTACCATGTCAGAATGAAAAATTAGATTTTGGCAATGTTTTACAAAGTTTTCTTTCACAAAATAACACAAATGCGAGAATAAGAGATAAATTTTGCTGTTTTGTATTCTGATTGAAAAATATATAAGCATATGTAGGATACATTTCATAAATACTGTAGATAAAGGAAAATGTGGATAAAGGGAATTTTTAAAAAAATATAATAAAAAAAATTATAAGATAGGTACAATTTAATATAAGATAAAAGCAAAATTATCAAAATTGCAATTATACAAAAATCATTAGATACGCTCAGAATAATGCTTAATATGTTTTTTACTTGGGGGGGGGGAGGGGGGGCGAGGAAGCAAATTTACAAAAATTGTGCATGGGCAATTTTCCGATAAAGGAATTATAGTTTGAAGCAAATTTGTTACTTGGTAGTAGAATTATATGCACGTATTTAATATTAGTTTTCAATTTTATTTTTAAAATATACATTAAGTATAGCCATAAAAATATTTTTTTTTCTTGTTTTAATATTTAATCGAACTGTTTTTTTTTTAAAGTTGTAAATGCTTGATAAAAGAATTAAGAACTACCTCTATATTTTTATACTTTTTTGTTAAAATGAATTTCAATGCAATTCTATAAAAGCGAGCTTTTGCTTTGCGTAGAGGATTGATGTATTTGTAAAATTGTTACATTTATTTGAAAACTAACAAAATTATAAGTTCTTATAAGATATAAATTTTTGAAATCCTAATCAGTTGAGATTTTCATTTTGTATGACCTCCACTGTTTTTTTGTGCGCAGTACATAATAATCATTCAGATTATTCCTATAAAATAAATATTTTTTTAGCAAATTATTTTAAATAAATAGATATTAAAATAGCTAATATTAGGTTTTTAAATTATTATTTATAAAATCAGACTAGAATTTAGATTTCTTTACTTTACGTAACTTAAATGTAGTAACAGAAAAAAAAATACGCCAACATTTAAAATTCATGATTCGATTAATGTTAATTTTACTATAGAGCTCTTTTTTCGATGAAAAGTTTTAATTGTACTGAAATTCAAAATAATTATAAAATTTACCTTTATTATTTAAAGAGAAGTTGTATTTAATGTTAATAGTTCACACTGAAAAGGAAAATACATACTTACCCTCTGTATCTAGCTGCTTCATACACAGGTGCATGATATACAATGAATAAATAAAAGAAGAGAAATTTTAACATGTTGGGATCACTAAAGGAAACAGTAGCTTATAACATAATGAAATCTAATATATATTATGATTTTGTATTTGATGTATTTGACACTTTCTATTGTATCAAAAATTGATAAGATTCGAGATTAAAACTTACTTTTGTCAATGATAAGACAAGAAAGGTTTGTTTAGGATTATCTGCTGTTTATACTGAAAATTAAATAAATAATTTTATATCTATATTTATATTTTATAAAGTCACTGACTTCTATTTCTCTTCATTTTATATAATAATAATTAAAAAAAAGTGATATAAAATTAAGGAAAATAAAGTATTAATCAAAATTTAATGGAAATATATTTATTTCACTATAGCTGGAGAGTTTTTTCATATTAAAAATATGCATAAATCATTACAAATGCAACATAAAAATTAGGTTTTAACATAATGAATAGCGATACGATACTCATACTTTGTCTCCTAGGTTGCTGCCTTCTGTTTCTTTTCATTTTAATGATTATGTAAAATGAGATATAAAATCTGAAATAAGTAATTAAAATAAAATTTAAAAGAAAAATACATTTTAACCGTAATTGGAATCGGTCTTTTCTATTTATTCAAAAGATGCATATATCATGATAAATATAGCACAATTATTCTCATAAAACTTTTAGCATAAAGATTTTTCTATCGAAACAGGAATTTTACTTCTTAAGTCACTGGCTTTTCTTAATTTCAATGATAGTTTTTTTTAAAAAAAGCAATAAAATTTGAAATCAGTACTTGAAGTAAAAATAGAGAAAAAAATTCTTCTTAGATAGAGATTATTTTTCATCTATGTAAATTTAAAAATTATGACATGCTCACTGCTAGAAATTCTTCCGAAAAAATTGTTAAATGACAAATTACTTAAATTCAATCTATTAACCGTGAGAAAAGCAGATTGTTAACTACTTTCACCTAATATTGCTAAGCAACCAGAATTTTATCGCACCAACTAGACCCTACCTAGTGAAGCCACTTAGCGGAGGTTCGAGTTCCAGAGTAGACACTATACTATTCCATTCCCTTTAACACGTAAAGAGTTTCCTGCACTTCCCAATTTTTCAATCTAGGCCATTAGAATACGATACTATCTTTCACGCATAGATGGCAGCCCCATAAAACTGCTAAACTATTTCCAACGTGCAGTAAATTTTCTTTTCCACGATTTTGAAACCATGCTACTTGTAAATGGTTAAAAATCGCTCAGTTTTGCATTCATGGTTTTTTAGCCCTACTAGTTGTAAACGGTTTGAATACCGTAAAGGCAAAAAATGCTCTTTTCCTGCCGTAAACTTTACGGTTAATTGGATGGACAGACTGCTGCCTGTTATTTTACCATAATTTTAGAATGAAAATTCTAACAGTGCATTACCGCAGCTTTTTTGGATGTTCACCTTTACGTTAAATCTTGTCTTGCTGCATGGGAACTATAAAACTGAGAAACTTGCTATCAAAAAAGTGTACGGAAAAGTGTACAGAAGGCGCGGTGGGATAAAAACAAAATTACCTTGCAATAATTAGGTCGAGAATTATTAATTGTTTAACTTTTATTGAACTTTACCATGTAAGCCATCCTGCAGAACACAAAAGTTTGATGTACTGTGAGGAAAAGAAATAATCAAATATTTAATAAAAAGTGACAAAACTTCAATTTAGAAATTAATTACCATTGCTTTTCGTGCGAATGCTTTTATAGATCAGTAGTTGAACTTATCGAGTCTTTCGAAAAATTTATTATCAATGCAAAATAAACAGAAAAAAAAATGTAATATATATCAATTTTCCTCACAATATATGTGCTATTTGACTCCAAATATTTTGAGAATATTACAAAGATTGGCTGGTATTTTCGAAGGGAAGAAATTGTAAATAAAAAAAAAAGTAAGGCAAGTAAAGTTAGTACAAAGATTAAACACATTATTTTTGAGAATAGAAAAATATTGCATCCAAGTACGCTTCAGTATTTCTTCTTTCTTAAATAACAAAAAATATTGTATCATAAATAAGATAAGTTTATTTTACCTAAAGCTATACTGTTGCAAAACATTTCTTTGTGGTAACTAAATTGATAGTGAGAGTACATCCATCTTTGGACAATTTCATGGTTAATGGTTTGTCACTACATCTATGCCATGTTGTAGTAATGTAGAAATGTCAGGTACTTTCCCGCCGTTGTCAACATCAGACAACCGAAGATAAGTTTATATTAATACTTATCTTCAGATAAGTTTATGGGAGAAACTCATGATTTTTTCTCTAGTTATAGTTAGATACCTGATATTTAAGAAGTTACGGCAATAGTTTCTAAATCGCACGAAACGTTGGAGTTATGAAAGAAAAAGATAGTGGAATTTAAAATGGCTGAGATCAAAAAGCAATTGGGTATACAATAGCCTACGTCACAGGTTGTGTTAATCCTACTAAATTTAACCCATGAACGGCATTTTCTGCGAGCCTAACTTCGAGCCACAAATAAACAAACGAAGTGTTTGATCGTTTAAATAGCTGCTCGCCAGATTTTATTGCATTATAAAGAAAAGTAATTGATATTCGATTTTTGATTAATAATTGATTTATGTGGATAGTGGCATAGAATTTAGCATTGCGTCATGGTAAATGTTATTCCTACTAAGTGGAAGTAGTTGTGTTTTTTTTTATATTATACCCAATTGTTGAAAGCAATTGAACAAACGTTTGACCATTGAAGTACGTTGATCTCTAAAATCCGTTAAAACAAACGTTTTTCGAAAGTACCTAGTGGACTGCTGTCATGTTGTTATAATTACTGAAATATTATTATCTATTTTTATCTCTGTAGATCATGCTTTGACCCTCGCAAGTGTTAAAAAAGTTTTCTATTATAAACGAAAATAGACAATATCCTTATAAATAATATATTTTTCCTTTTTCATTTATACTGTAACTGCCAACCTTTTCGTAGTTGCAGGATGATTTTTTCTGGTAATGTCAAGGTGCTTAGGTTTTGTCAAATAAATGTGATTGAAGAAGATTATTTTTATCATATCATACATATAAATAACTGATGGTTAGATGGTCCAGGTGCTAGCTAGTTAAAAAAAACATGAAATCATATTGGCTCTTCAGTCGACTGATCGTAAATCAGATTCCCAGCTGAAAACCGAAGTCAAGGATTAGTGTCAGTAAGCAGGTGGGTGACCATTTTAATCAGCCTACGCAGGGACCAAAGATTTAAGTAAAGTGCCCGACTTCGCGTGCAGGTCATCGGGCTACCAAAGTGGAGGAGCCCTCACCTTTGCAGAAGAACAAAATTGCGATGGTATGTCTTCGGATCATTCTCAGGGATGTTTTCCACACCGTCGCCAAAAGCCCATCGTGTAGTTCTAGTCTGACGCAAATAGAAAACTACAACTACTGAACTAATATTGCTTTCTAAATACCACTTTAAACACTAAAGAAAAATATTAAACATATTCTGAGTACTTAGCAGTTATGCTTTCTCCCACATATGAAATGAGTCAAAATGTGGAAAGAGAAACAATTCACAAAGTACTAGTTCCCCAAATTTAAAACTCGCCAAAATAACTTTCCCTTAAAAAAACGATACAGAAGTCTCTGAAGATAGGTCATTTATTGCAAGATTTAACCCCGAAAAAAATCTAAATTGAAAAATAAATACTGAATTAAGTTAAGGATGATTGTAACAAAATTTTATTTAATTAAATGCAAAATATACTATCTAGATTAGTATCAAGTTTGTTAGTTACTACTTACTATATTTAGGTCTTCTCTGTATAAAGACTGTTTTTGATTTAAAAACATTCTTTGTCCTGATTTTAGTGTGTATGAAAATGATATGACTTATTGACTAAATCAGTAAATCACGATAAGTGGGGGTTAAAATATCAGTAAACTAAAACTTTGTATGATTTCATATTTTGATAATAGAAACAACATAGGAAGACCATAATAACAAAACAGAAACAACATAGGAAAAAATACACTATGGAATTTTTGAAATTATTTTTTTCACATGCATTTATGCAATGGTTTCCTGGGAACTATTTCTGCTGGACTAGCTTGCATTTAATACGTGATTTCTAATCTCGTAAATGAGGCTTATAATAAGACTACGGTAATTGAGTACTTTGCAAAAAAAGACTAAACTATCCTGGTTCGCTTTTCTTTAATTTAACTGATTTTTTGACAGACGAAAACGCCAATCAATCTGTAAATCAAATGGAAAGAAGCGAAACTATTTCAATAAATCCAATGTTTTAATATCCTTAACAGATTAATTTTCCTTATTCATTGGGTGAAAAAAGTGATGAAAAACATCGCAAGTATGAGCCCTTTGGTTAGCTAAATAATGCACCAGGAATTATTGGTTAGTAATGTGATTTAATTAGGCTGTAACTTCAATGTTGAAGGCTTTAATCGAACAATTTCCCCTTTTCTATAACCTAATGAGAAGAAAGTTGGCTATAGATCCCTAAATGATGTAATCTAAATAAGCAGCAATTAAGACCTGCTTGAATTTCGCAAAATGTAGCATCATGGTCCAGTAACATTTTAAAGGATTATTATTGCAGTTACTATACTTGTAACAGTCAAAAATTTTAATATATAACTTATTATGATTTTAATCAATTGTTTTTGGGTTATACATGTTCTACCTATTCACTTAATAATCAATAATTGAGATTTGTACGATTTAGGGAACAGGTGGTACGAAGTAGGCAACTGATTTTCTAAATATCGCGAAAATAATTAATTTTCTGTACTTATAGCGTAAATTATCATCACCAAAAAATATAAGAAACTGAATAACTGTATTTCAATATTAAAATATTTCAAATGTAATTGTTAGTGATTTTTGACTGACAGAAATTTAAATGTGAAAGAAAGGTACGTTTTAGGCAACTCTAACATAACAGTTTTACATTATTGAAAATTCCTAGGTTGAATTGTATAAGCCAACTGCAGTTATGATGTTTAACTTCAGCGTAATTAGGTTGCTTTGTGCCGCAAAAACTCATTAATTGAAGAAAAATTTTGGTTAAATA